CAAGAGGACGCTCTCCATGGATGAAATGGCTATGCCGGATGAGCCTCCCACCCCGAATTTTCAACCTCCCATCGGAACGGGAAGGCCTCTGCCTGGCACTACCCCAATGCCTGCTCGTAACCCACATATGCAGCGTCGCCTTCATGAAGCCGAAGAGCGAAAGCTTAACATCCTCGAAGAGATGAGGATCATACTTCGTGCAGACCATCTGAAGGACGACATTCAGAGACGCTTTACTGCCATGACCAACATTATCCTCCGCATGGAGTGGATTCTGTTCCGTCGTGACGTGAAGCCCGACGGTATTCACGCTAAGGAATTTCTCTCTGCTCCCGTCGTCGGAGAGGTCCAAGAACTGGCGATTCCAATGGTCCAATACCTTGCCTGGCTCGACAAAAAGCTTGAGAGTGAGCTCAGCATCTCACAACAGGTCCTCCATTGGATCATACAGATTGCGAAGAATCAGGATCTCGACGTATATCAGCGTTTTCGACAGACGGCTCGGGTTATCATTGGGTAAAAGCCCTTCTTCTAGCTATTACTCAGCCTTATTGAGCTAACGGCGATCACAGAAACCTCCGAAAGCCGCGCCTGCTCGAAAAGCACCTCTTGGCTGTCTTCCAAGATCTGTATGACACATACGTCTACAGTGATTTCCTCAATATCCGCAATCGACAGATTCTCCGCGAAGAAGGGCTTCACATCGAGCGTGATAATCTCGCCCGCCTCTTAATTGCAGGCTGGGATGTTCTGAGCCGCGCCATCGAGAACTACAGCGAGATCATTACTATCAACCTCGATCTTAAAAGCTGCTTCGTTGATCCAATCATGGATCGACTGCCTCGTTCGTATGAGATCTGGGAGGAAGAGTGGAAGGAGCACCAGCGGCAGTGCGAAATCCTGCGGAATATGGAGTTGGAAAAACTCTGGACGGAGGCGGAGGAGCAGGAGCAGGAATTTGCCCGGGCCCAGACTCGTGCGATGGCTGAGTTCAGGGCTCAGATGCAGTTGCCTGGGCAGGGACAGAGCTCTGGACAGTGGCACGTTGACTCCCGTATTCAAGTTTAGTACGGTTGATGAGATGGATTTTGCTGGTGAAAACTTACAATCAGGCTTTGTTCTTTTCTTTGCTCTCCTCTTTCTATTGCGCCTTTCAGTGATTGCCTTTCAACGTGTGGAAGTCAGAAAAGATAAAGGAAAACAAAGAAAGAACAGAAAGAAAGACAAAGGGAGAATTAAAAAAAAAAAAAAAAGAAAAAAAAGGCCGACGTATCTACGAATTTACGAACGTGAGAGAATAATGATCGATAGATCGGAGGGATGAATAGGAACAGCATGGCGCACGGGATAATCCATGGAATTTAGTCATATCTAAGCGAATACCCTTTGCAATGAGACATAAGTTTCTAATAAATGAAATGGAATACATTCATAACATCATTCAAGAATCTAAGCGGAACTATCCTTGTAAGGACCAAGCTTAAACAACTTCTTCGCATTTTCCCGTCCAATCTTCAACCGATCTGTCTTATTGAGCTCCGCGTTGTCAAACCACTCACAAGCATCAGAGAAAGTCTCAAACGGATAATCAATCGAGAACAGAATCCGGTCAGACCCAACTTCCGCCATACAGAAGTTCAGGGTAGTCGTTGAAAAGTGCCCCGAGGTAGTGATCCAGATATTCTCAGCGAAGTAGTCCCGAATCGTCTTCTTGCACGTCTCAGCAAGACCCAGCAACTTCTTCCGGTCCTCGAACCAGTGGTTAATGCGCCACATATCGAAGGGAACATGTTCACCCAGGTGACCCATGATAATCTGCAGCTTGGGATGACGGTCGAACACACCATTCGTGACCATGCCGAGAACGTGTAGACTGACGCCTTGTGCGAAGCTGAGAGGAGGACCCACGAGCCATTTGCGATCAGCCCAGAGCTTCTCGTAGATTGTGCCTGTCGGGTTCCGGGGGTGCATGTAGAAGGGTACGTCGAGCTCTGTGCAGGTTTGCCAGAAGATATCCCATTCTGCGTTGTCGTAGAAGATCATGTCGTCTCCGTCGGGGCCGGCGCGTTGGGTATCGTTGACCAGGGCGCCCTTGAAGCCGTGCTTCTCGACGCAGCGGCGGAGCTCATCGGCGGCTTCTTTGGGGTTGTGCATTGATAGTGTGCTATGGGTTTGTTTAGTATGGTTTGCATGATGGTTGGGGTGAGAGGGGGCTTACGCGAAAGCACCGAATCGGTCGGGGTTCACGCGCACTTGCTCGGCGACGTAGTCGTTGATCTCGACGGCGAGCGCTTGGGCTTCTACGGGGTCCCAGATGTCCTGCACACCGGGCGCTGTGTATGAGAGGATTTGGTAGCCGACGCCATGCTTGTCTGCGTGCTCGATGCGGATCTTGTTGATGTCGGTGATTTCTTTGACGTGGGTTTCGGGGTCCGTGGAGAAGAGGCTTGCCCACCAGCGAGTCTTTTCTTCGAAGCGGGGAAGCGCGAAGGCTTCCTCAAGGGCGATCTTACCAAGCATTGTTGGTTGTGTTGTTGTTGAACTCAGGTTGGAGATGGGGTAGTCTGGAGGTGGGAGTATGCTTTGTGAGGGGACGTGGGGTCAGATGTAGGTATTGTACAAGACGAGGGGGTGTAAATGATGAGAGCCAAACTGGTCGAATGCGCCAGCTTTATATCATTTGAATGGGCGGGCATTGGCGGATGTGTACCGCACTTCCGATGGGAAAAGCAGGTATAGAGTACGTATGGCTGCGTGGAACTGGCTCATCCTCAACCTCACTACCGACGGCTGCTGCTGAGTGTGGGGAAAGTGGGCTCTAGTATGTTTGGGTCCGCCAGGAGCTTGGTGGTATATCTAGCTAGAATTATCGGAAACCAGCTCTGAGTCGTTCCTTTGGTTGTTCTGTTAGCAAGTTGATAAAAACCATTGAAGCTATTTTGTATAGTTGCTGGAAATGGCAAACACAGCAGATCTCCCCTGATGTATTCTATGATAGCTTCAAAGTTGTTAGCTTGGTTGCCGCTGCTTGTGTAGGTTGCATCCGAACGGAAGCCGTCACTCCGCATATCGGAAGCAGACCTGATTGTTAATCCTGGTTTCTACTAGTACGAGGTGGTTTAACAGTGGAAGGGTGTATGGGAGGTGCAGTATCCGACGTGCGCGGGACGCTCGAAGGTGCCGTAGCCGACGGAGTTACCCCGCAAATTATTAGTATGGGTCCGTACAACCGACGGGGGGGTTTGCCGGGTTCCAAAATAGGCGCAGATCATTAGGAAGCGATTCAGGATTAGAGAGCACTGTGTATTTGTGAGTAGTTGTCCTTAAGATATTCTGCCTCAAGGTCATCTATCTTCGAAATTTAATATATATGTAATTCTTTGTAAAGATGGGCAAAACTGGATACATATGTTAGGTTTACTCTAAAGTGAGCTTCGGACTGCTTATAGACCCTGAGCATAGAGAAACAAAGAATTCAAAGCTTGCTTTGGAGATATTCAATGTACTACCACTTGGGTTATGCAGTCATCTACTGGAAGTCATAAGGCCGATTTTTTGATTACCTGATAAACCCCACTATATCTAAATTTTTGATCCTATTCTATATTCTATGGAATACCCCCCTGATATCTAGTTCTAGGAAAAGCTGTAGAACTGAGTGTTCTAATACTATTGAAGAATCCTAATCTTCTATTTTCTAGCCAGTTTACTAAATATAATATACCTGGATCTTTTATTTAATATTTCCTTCAGTTCTATATCAATCTCCCCTGGCTAGATAAAAGGTGTAGTATTTACAAAAGGGAATTATGTTAATATGAATTTAATTTTTAAACTACGTAGAAAGGTGCTATAAAATAGTGGTAGAAAATAAAACTTAGAGCCAGCTAGTATTAGAATACTAATAGATTTATCAAGAATAGATATCATAACCACAGATATCGACGGTTTCTTCCTTTTCCCTGTTTATTCAGCGTTGATTGACCCCAGTCGCCAACTCTTTTGTTCTCTCTCGGACCCATATATTTTTGGGGGCCAATAAATTAGTTCTACGTAGCTTTAAAACTCCGATATGATAACTATGAAACTTGGAGCAGTGCCTGTGTTCTCAAGCCCTAGCTCCAACGAGCTAGTATGTTTACGACCCAGACGGCCAGGATCCGTCCAGCAAAGACGGTTTCCGAACGCATGCTCTAATACCATGGGGAGTAGTCCACCGTGGGTGATAATTCGGCCTGTGGGCTACTCCCGCCTGTACCTATGCCAAGTGGTAACCATGAGTGTCAAGGGTTAGCCACTCAGGATGAAGCTGCTGGGCCTCTTCACACCACTGATGTGATTGACTTTGGCTGGGCGAGTAACTAATGTCGCTTGTCGCCTGTACCGCCGTTGGTCGAGACAAGGCTCTGTCTAAACTGCCAGATCCCATCCGTGAAGCGCCCCTGATATTATCTGCCCGCGTTGTTTATCCAGATCCGCTGACGATCATAAGCGTGCTTCCCAAAAAAAATATACGCCCCTGCCACGATTGCGTCAACTCATTCGTTGCGCGCCCTCTAATCTATTATAGTGGCTGCATGCTTGGCTATAGAAACAGTGCTACGTGACTGGAACTAGAGAAGCAATAGCAGTCGTCCATCATTCTAGAAGCCGTGTCGCCACTTCGCGTGCAGTGGTAGGTCGACAATCAGCGTAAGGAGTACTCTATAAGCTGGATACCTGACACATAGAATTGAATTGGCTATCGGAAATCCTTAACTGAGTTCTGGGGTGCCAATCCAGGGTAAAGGATCACTAGTTAGGAGTAAATGGTTGGATTGCCTGGCGTAGGCAGGATAGCTAGACACAAGATGAACCTGGATTTAGTGATTATACTGTGCCTGGTAGTCAGGATATGAGGACCAGACAGAGACTTGCCCGATCAGGATAACTCAGGCCTATAGGGTCACTAGTTCTGACTTTTTCAATGCCTATATTGACTTCATCACAGCCAAAATTGCTCAGGCAGTATGAAGGGTCCGGAAGCGTGTGGGGTGTGCAGGGTCCCGGTCGACGACTTGGACTGACGGCCACGCCCATTGCCACACATTGATGCCTGGGATGCGGGAGAAACTGATCGGACCACGGGTCCCTTCAATGAAGACGCGTCCCCATGATGGGGCAGTGTGCATCCGGTTCGTTCCATGAAAGCGTAAGATGTCAGTGAGGATAGTGATCGTGTCGTAGCCTTCGAAGGCGACGAAGGAGGGCATCTCACCCAACTTCTGGCAGAGTGCGGTCTCAATACGAGCCCCTAGCGGGCTGAGCCGCTCGGGTAGGTAACGGAGGAAAGGTATGGCAGCGCCATCGTTGCCAAGCAACCTTGCCCACTCGGCGAACTCCGGTTGTCCAGCTGGAGCACCCATTATGAGTCCAGCGAGGCGTTGATCATGCCTGACGGCCTTGACGATAGCAGCCGCTGGTTCTGGCAAGCCGACTAGAAGAAGGAGAGCTGTGACACGTCCATCTTGCCGAGCGAGTTCATCGCATATGTCACCAGGCCCGAGTTCGCGTATGTTGAACTCGATGACCGTGCCGCCGCGGGGAGCGAAATGCTCCCGTAGAATCCTAATTCCGGATGCCCAGTAGACACTCGTGGGGTCGGCAACTATGGCGATGTTGTTATGAGACATGGCCAAAAGGAAGTCGGCGTAGGCCTGCCAGCTCTTGGACTGGGCGGGGGCGAGGCGCGCTACCCAGTTTGTTGGCTGCTCAGTGAGATTATCGAGGACGGCAGACGAACAGAGATATGGCAAGCCGATAGCATCAGCCCTCACGGCGGCGGCGCGGGCGACGACGCTGTGGTACTCACCCACCAAGGCGACAACGCCCAGGCTAGCGAGTTCGTCTACAGCGGCTGTGGCCTTTTGGGGGTCAGCCGCTGTGTCCCTGACTACCAGCTTAAGTGGCCTTCCAGCGATGCCGCCAGCTCTATTAACCTCTTCGATGGCCAGGTCGAGCCCCGCAAGCAAGTGCCTCCCAGCATCGATCCAGCCCGGCCGGCTGAGGGGGGCAAGGGCACCAATTTGAACGTATGATCGGCCCATTTCTCCTGCTTGTTGCTGCATGTGTTGAGTATGGTTTATCCAGAGGGTTGCGGTTTGTCGATGAGCAGCTTAGGTGGGAAAGTAGACGATGAGCCGAGGCAATTATGTCCAATGTAGTGAACAGTAGTCGTCCCAGTTCTTAGAGAACCTAAGATTTTGAAAGGCATGACCCTTTCTGTTGAGGCTAAATTGTCGAACTCAGGGGAGATTCTGCCGCTAAGTGTGGGATGACTCACGACCTTTGGTAGATCCTCCTCCTCCTCATCCGAGGGCCAGCTTAGGTTAAGTTCATGGGGCCAGGGCGGGAAGCTATAAGACACATAGGACATGTAGAAGGTGGTCCGGTACTTCTCCCAGATGGAATAGTACAACTTATACTCCTCGAGAACTAACTAGTCAGCTAAACAGATGCCTATTACGCCTAGTCCCCTTCATAAATAGATCCTATTAGGGTGTCGTGAGGTATCAACTTGGTAACCATTACGCCATCTTCTGGCATAGATTCTGCAATTATATGCCGTTTTTAACGGCTTGCGGAGTCAGTGAGGGATCAACTTAACGGCATGAAGCTTGTTGTCTACTAGCTTGGATCAGGGGTAATCCTTGAAGCATACAGGCTTTTGTAGCTAACCTTATGAGCATCGTACCTCTCGCATTTTAAAATATGACAGCTAGACTATACGGATGAGACATGTCTAGCGGGTTAGAATGAGAATAATCGCGGCGGGGTGCTATAATAGGGACAGAAATTACTTAGATCCATCCTCCCTCTCGAGCTGGACTTCGATGATCAACAAGCTTGGCATTCTGGGTCTCTACAATGAACCCATTTTTGCGCTTGAAAGACGATCATTCTAAGAGATCATTAGGGGAGATATACTCATCCATGAGCGTTTCAATGTGTCCGAGAGTACTGTCTGTCCGATAGTTTCAATCGACAGGAATATGGTATGTCACGAGATAATAGTTCACTGTGTGAAAGAAGGTGAGATGGGGCAACCCATAAGCTGATGTCAGAAAGATATGGTAGATCGACCCTAATACTACAGTTAGTCCTGATAGAAGTCATGATAGTAAATAAATGTTAGAAAAGTGAGCATGTGTCAAATTTCCAATGTCCTCCACAAATTGAGCCATATCTCAGCCTTCTATTTAATGTCCGGCGACGATCAGTAAGGCTGAGTCCACATGACCTTCACTGATAGGGTCAAAACATAGACGGAAGGTATTTGCTGTTGTGCTGGCAATACCACCTTACCGTCCCGAGCACTCCGGGATAATCTTTCTAAAATAGACGGTGACTGTTTGATCATGAGACATCTTTCCCAATCAGTGATATGCAAACTAGGAGTATCAACATATGAAGAGAAAGAAACAACAGGAGACTAGGTAATGGTGCGCAGATTATCCAATCAGCCCCGCGATCTGCCTCAGTCGGTCTGTATGTAGTACTACTTATAGTAAGGTAAGGCTAATAGGTCCCAGTACTGTGGCTAACTTACCGACTGTTAAGTTTGCCTCCCTTCCTTAACCTAAGCCACGGAAGTTACTTGTCTTTGTACACTATTCTCCCCCGGTTTCATTATCCATACAATCATTATTGGAAGGGGGTCCGACCTTCGACAATGACCTCTCCTCCGTACTCCATCTTGTACAAGGCGCGGTCTAGTCCGCAGCATGAAGACCCAATGCGAGTAACTTCCCTCAGTCACACAGATCCGATTATGCCAAGCAGCCACTCGTATAGGTCGACCCCAGATTTGCCAGCCTCTTAAAGTTCTCCCTAAATAGCGATTATTGGGCCAAATACAAAGTTCACTGCCTTCTTTGTCTGTTTTTTTCCCGCCTTTTCAACACCAGCCATTCCAGACAGGCTCCTCCAATCAACAAGGGCTGACATTCGGGCACACAGGCTCTCACGCTCCACGCAAACAAAGCAAAATCAGAATCAGCCTCCCATCGCCGTGACAGAGGTCCAACCACCATGACTACTGAATCACTCTGGCCCGGTGAGAGTATTGCCTCATTTCAGCGAAGTGCTCCATACGAACCGGGCACCCTCAAATACCCGCAAACCTGCAGCAAGATCTCTATCAGATTAGTAGCGGCTCTTTTTTACTTATCTGCTCCACTGTGTATCTCTCTCTTCCTCTCCGAAACTGAGAAGTTAAACTACGTTCCTCCACGTGGATGACCGGCCTGTGGAGTTTGCTGTATACCAAATAGGACCTCGGTTATGTTTCATGAATGTTCCAATCTCTTAGACTTCATAGTGGCTTCTGGTTCTTTGTTAGCTTGCGGCGCACCTGAGCAACCACTGCCCTACCTACCCACGGTTATTTTTTTATCGACCATACCGTTTCCGATTCCAAAATTGTCCGTCCTTTCTGTTGTTGCCATTCTTATTGCAGTCTCGGTGCCCATCTCCAACGCTGCTTAGGCCTTTCCTTTCAGGTCTCTTCAACTTACAGCAATTCGCTCTTTCGCTTTGTTTGACAACTGCTCCGTTCACAGGATATATACATAGCGGCATCGATCACATGTACTCACGATGTTTGGGAAGGAGGATATAGGGCCCTTTGCGGACCCTCCACAGAAAGACGGTACCGAGCATGTGGAAAGAAACGAGAATGCAATGCCACGGCGCATCTTAGCGACAGCTGCAGAACGTGCAAGGCGCAATATCAACGCGAAACTGGCCAATCCATTGGCTGGGTATTCCTACGAGGAACTGCGCAGACAAGGCATCAACTTCGCTGTCAAACATCATATAGGGGATGAAGAAGATATCCGAGCTTTTGGAATAGGCGCTATCCTGGCCCAAGTACCGGAGAAATTCACTCATGTTCCCGACCTGAGGCCCGATGAAATAGAAGTTCTACAGAAGGAGTTCTCCAATCGTTGGTCCCAGCCTTGGACAATGTACCTAGTCATCGCCCTCTGCTCCCTGGCTGCAGCAGTACAAGGAATGGGTACGTCATCAACATTCCTACTTCCCATTTATACATGTGTTGAGGTGTGTTGAGCTGACAGTGAATCGGCATTTTAGATGAGACTGTTGTCAATGGAGCCCAAATCTTTTATAAACACCAATTCGGAATTGGGAACGATGATTCTAGGTCTAACTGGCTAGTCGGATTGGTCAATTCTGCTCCTTATTTGTGCTGTGCTGTCATCGGCTGTTGGCTGACAGTGCCATTCAATGCTTGGTTTGGCCGTCGGGGGACTATCTTCATCACTTGCTGTTTCTCCGCGCTTGCCTGCCTTTGGCAAGGGTTTGTGAACACCTGGTGGCATATGTTCATTGCCAGATTTGTGTTAGGCTTTGGCATCGGCCCCAAATCTGCAACAGTCCCAATATATGCCGCTGAAACAGCGCCTCCTGTCATTCGCGGTGCTTTGGTAATGCAGTGGCAGATGTGGACTGCATTCGGCATCATGTTCGGCTACGCCGCGGACCTTGTCTTCTATGAAGTGCGAGACCCAGTAGGGATCACAGGCCTAAACTGGCGTCTCATGGTGGGCTCTGCCATGCTTCCAGCTATCCTGGTTTGTTGTTTTGTTTTTACCTGTCCAGAATCACCTCGTTGGTATATGGCGCGGAAGTGCCACGATAAAGCATATCGATCAATGTGTAGCCTGCGATTTCACAAGATCCAAGCTGCCCGTGACCTCTTCTACATGCACACATTGCTGGAGGCCGAAAATGGGATGAAACTCGGTCAGAATAAAGTACTCGAGATGATCACCGTTCCTCGCAACCGGCGTGCCCTGGTAGCGTCTGAGTTGGTCATGTTTCTGCAGCAGGTGTGTTCCCAATTGCATAGGGCCTATACTTCTGTTGATAAGTACGCTAACCATGATTTAGTTCTGTGGTATGTCTCATAAGCATGATGAATCCAACATGGTCGGTCTTTGTCAGGTACTTACTCATTCTCTATCTAGGGGTCAATGTAATTGCCTATTATTCTTCCGAGATCTTCTTAGAAGCAACAAATCAGCGGAACGCCTTGACAGCATCCTTAGGTTGGGGTCTGATTAACTGGCTCTTTGCCATTCCAGCAGTGTACACTATTGATACTTTTGGCCGTCGTAACTTGCTACTTACCACATTCCCTCTGATGGCACTTTCCATGTTCTTCACCGGTTTCAGTTTCTGGATTCCACAAGAAACTCATAGCTCGGCGCGACTAGCATGTATCGCTTTGGGTTTATATTTCTTTGGCATTGTTTATTCCGTGGGAGAGGGCCCTGTGCCATTCACCTATTCAGCCGAAGCCTACCCGCTCTACATACGTTCGTATGGCATGGCCCTCGCCACTGCGACGACCTGGTTGTTCAATTTCACGCTTGCTGTTACATGGCCATCTCTTCGCAGCGCGTTCACTCCGCAAGGTGCATTCAGTTGGTACGCAGGCTGGAATATTGTGGGTTGGTGGCTGATACTCTTGTTGATGCCTGAGACAAAAGGAAAGACTCTGGAAGAGTTAGATCAGGTTTTCTCCGTTTCCACAACTTTTCATGCTGCGTATGGACTTCGACAAATCCCTTATTTCTTCCAAAGGTATATCTTGCGCCAGAATGTGCGGCCGGAGGTCTTGTATGAGCGAGAAGATGCATTTAACGTTCCACCAGAAGCTGGTTACAACACTCTATGAGCAGAATGAGGATAGTGTGTATATAGTGTACGATTTGTTATGTTCACATGCTCGAGATGCGTTATGACATGTATTGTACCTTCTCAATTTCACTGCGAGACGACTACGATACCATCTACATCTGGGTCCTGGATTTGCCAGGTATTTATGAGCTAGGTCGCGTGACAAGACTTGAATACCAGATTAAGTTTCGATCAGATTACATAGCAAGTCTACGGACTGAGTAAGTTTCCGAATTTCAGAAGGAATTAATTTTTTTTTATAAAACTCTAACTATGAACAACATGGGGTATAAAGGGGAACTTCGTCAGACAGCAGTTGGTACGATTATTGATCCGCATGGATTATACTCGGAACAGGTCTGTGTGAAATCTTGCTTCATCATTCGAAGTATTGTGACGGCAAAAAAAAAAAAAAAAAAAAAAAAAAAAAAAAAAAACCGAAAACAAAAACAAAAAAAGACAAGGAAACATAGTAAACTATTTTTATCACTCGGTTCAAGCCTTCGGTCGAGAGAAAAAATATTTTTTCATCCGAGCCCGACGTCAAAAGCGCAATAAGCATGAGTCCGAAAGAACGCATCAGTCCATCATAATTGATCACGCATTATTGATCAAGTAGGACGTCCATAGCGACCAAGTGAAACCTGAACAGTAGCCAGAGTGTCCCCAGTAGCATTTATCGCTAGCAAAAAGCTGCGAGGAAGGTGTGATACAAAGGGAGAAGATGAAAAACAAACCGACGATACCACAAGAATTTATATGCAGTTTTTAGCGCCCTTCGCTAATGGACCAACCAGACGGAGGAACTGCGATAAGTGGTTTGCATAGTTTGCGCAGTTTGTAATGTAGGCCTTCCGCGGCGCCCAAAAAAAGTAAATCTGCAATTTTTCGAAGTAGGCATCAGTACTTGCTTGTGATTTTTGTTCTATACGGCTTTCGCCTGTGCGAGATACCTTTTGGACTATTGGGCCTACGAGATCTTCTTTTCTTTCTTTTAATTGCATAGCTTTTATTTCGTTTCGCTGTACGTTTCCAACGGTAAGATATCCGTGTTGATTATTGTGCTCATCATTGTCTTTTCCGGAAATATGTAAATTTTATGCCGCATCAACGTGCTAACTTTTTTTTTCTGGTGATTCAGGTCGATTTTTACATACCCTGTTCATATTACTATCCAATAATACATATATCAAAATGGTCGATGCTCCTGAGAGTCCTGTTCCGCAGCAACAAAGTGTGTAGGAGAAAGTACCTTGGGGCTGCTCATTTGGGGCTGGATCCAACAATGATGACAATGTTCCATGATTCACTAATGAGTCTTTAGCTCCCGTCAAGTCTTTCCAGAATGGAGTCAGAACGACAGGCCGTGCCTTCCATTCCCCCAACTGGCGTGTGAAGGGTGAGGAGAGCCCCAGTGCGCAGAGCGCGGGGTCTCCTGGTCCGAAGACCAATACCTCGAGAGTTGCATTTAGCAGACCCAGCCCTCATGTCCCTCAGGCTATCTCCGAAGGACGCCGTCTCTATGTGGGCAACATGCCCTACACTGCCAAGTCGGAGGATGTGCAAGCGCTGTTCACCGCGGCCGAGTTTCCAATGTATGAGTGAGAAATACTGTATAAAGATGGGTCCAGACTGAGTGCTTCATAGCGAGCGGATCGACATTGCCATTGACCCATTCACTGGTCGCAACCCTTCATACTGCTTCGTCGACCTTGAATCGAAGGAATTGGCAGAGAAGGCCATGAACGAATTGGATGGTCGCGACATGCTTGGCCGTCCAGTTAAGATTAAGCCGGGCGTGGTCAAGTCTTCTAGCGAGCGCTCCCAGCAACAGCAACAGCAGCGGACAGACGGATCTCCTCGTTCTGATAGTAAGACCTCGCTTTTCACTATGGACCGGTGGCGCCGCAGCGATGCCCCTACCTTTGCCAGGACCAACAGTGATTCCAGCCGCCGGCTCTATGTTGGTGGCCTTCCCCGCTTGACCGATCAAGAAGACATTTCCAGCAATATCACGAATTTCTTCAAGGACTACAAGCTGTATGCTTTTCCCTGGAAAGCCAATTGCCTGATGATACTGACATAATTGACTGCTAGTGAGAATGTTAGCAAGCTGTTCACTCCCCACCCCGCGAAGCGCTTCGAGCCCGGTGACCACTACTACTTGTTCGTCGACTTCGGCAGTGTTGAAGAGGCACAATCGGCCATGAATGCCTTGAATGGGCAGGAGGGTCCTTGGGGAAACCCTATCCGAGTGCAGAGGGCTCGCGGAGAGACCAACTCTGAAGACCGGAAGAACAAGTGGTCTTCTGCACGAGACGAAACCCCAGCTACCGGCGATGTCTCGGTTGCTGTTTAATCTACCCCCGAATAGTCATTCATGCTTTGTTGGCTAGAATATAATTGCATAAACTTGGCGCTCCGAATCAAAAAACGGCAAAGGCAAAACTGGAGTTTGGCGCTTTATCACTTTGGGCAGGATGGACTTTTCTAGAATCTTGTCAGAACAGGCCCTCCCGACTTCGTTCTATCTTGACGTCAAACAACTCCTTCCTACAGTGGCATATAGGATCATTGTCTGCCCAATAAGACACGCGCTATCAGCACGCCTCGGCCTTGGATGGAAGGCAAAAAGGACACACTTGACGCCGGTCACTACTTGGCTATAGTTTTTTCAAATCTATCTATCCACATGGATGACCAAGGTAGGAGCGGCTAGGGCACATACAAGGAAAGAAAAAGGAAACATAAGGAAAAGGAAAAACGGGTTTCAATGATGATTGATGACAAAAAGGGGTAAAATGGAATAGATCACGTCAATGAAGTCTCAATGTGACTATGATTTCTCTAGTGTCTAGAGTCTAGACCTGTTCAATTAGTCTCCCACTAGTCAACGTAACCGTCGGGAGCGTGAGGATCTGCTTTTCCCTGAATAGGCGATTCCACCGATGGGCAGGTGATATGGATGGATCTATTATTGACATCCTGAACCTTAGCCGTATGATGTTCTAGTCCCACAAGGCAACCCATGACTTCTTGGGATCCAATCGGTACAATTCCAGTTAGTGTCAGGATATACTTAGTACACAGTAGCCTTCCCCTGGATTACATGCAGCCAAATCTGGAGGAGGAGGATTCCAATGATGATCTTGACAGTGTGTTCCAAGATTAGATCGGAGGGTACCCAGCGGAAGGTTGGAAGGTCTTTCCGGCTTCCAGAACCGGGGGCAGCGATTTTACCCGACGAAAATCGTACCCGGAGGGTCACGTGGTGCGTCTTTTCGAGGTGCTGGATCTTCGTTCATCCTTCATAAAAAGCATGGGTAGATTTGCCTGAAATTTTGTTTCAAATTTCTTCTATTTTTTTTCTTGATATATTGCCAACCATTTGGAACCATTTCATCACCGACAAGTCCAGCTCTCCTTTAGTTAGACTAGAAGAAGTTGTGGTGACTTTGCCCCACGGCATGACGTCTGTGCTGATCCCCTTTACTTTCCTCCTTCACCGCATCAAGAGTTGGGCCTCCATGGGATCCAACCAGATCTCTTGATTAATTTACATTGACGACTCTAAACGTCCCTTGCGAAGCACGACAGCGGGATCTGTCCAGTCATTGAACAGTGATAGTGCAGATACTTGAAAGATTAACAATTAAGAGCCAGGGAAAAGTTTATCTGGGGAAAGACTAAAAGTCCCTATTTCTTTGTCTTGAACGCTATTCCACTTCAGCCTAACTTTCCTCTTCTCCGGCCTTCAGTCCCGTCGGACAAAACAGTGGCCGAGGCTTGAATTCGTCTTTCTTTTGTCCCCGTGGTGCATATCCTGATTTGAAAAAATCCATCCCGATTTGTTGCCCAGCATGTCTGTGAGAAGAGGTCAGACCAAGAGCTACTTTGCCAGTGTAAGTTGTTCCCGATACTTGACGGTACTTGTTGGTCGCATTTCCGCTCTTTCAACTATTTTTGAATACATGCCTGTCATTCTTCATTCTATGTTATCCAAACAAAAGTTGAATATTCGACTTGGTGCTCGATAGATATAGTGAATCTTGTTCCTTTCCTTTTTTTTTTCTTTTTCCCATATTTTATTTTATTTTCTTTTTACTGTGTCCATGTGTTTGTATTTCCCAATGTCTTTCAAAATCTAGATGGTGAGGCGCATGGCGTCATCGAGTCCATCCGCTGTCGGTTTCGTTTTATCACCATGATTACTGCCCCATTATGCTTCTCTTGAGGAAATTTTGATACATGCAGCAAACGTACTCACTATTAGGCTAGGCAGATGACACTAAAATTTGTGTCGTTATGGTTGGCCTTCCAGCCAGAGGCAAAAGTCTCATAGCTGGGAAGGGTGTGTATCTCCCTCGGCGTAACCCTTCCATGTGCTAGGTGCTAATACAAAAACTAGCAATGCGATATCTTGCTTGGGTCGGCATACCTGCTCGTGTATTTAACGTGGGAACCTATCGCCGAAGTAATACACCGCAACCCAATGCCACCTTCTTTGACCCTCACAACTCCGAGGGAGAGAAGATGAGAAAGGCCGCCGCAGAGGCTGCCATGTCGGATATGCTTCAATGGTTTAGCTCCGGAAAAGGGGTTGTGGCTATATTAGATGCGACTAACTCGACTAAATCTCGGCGAAGTTGGATTTACGAAAGCTGCCATGCTGCCAACGTTGAAACATTATTCGTTGAGTCAATATGCGATGAGGAAGACCTAATAATGAACAACATCCTCGAAGTCAAGACCACCTCACCAGACTACAAGGGGCAGGACCCTGAGGCTGCTGCTTTGGATTTCCGTAACCGAATTCGCAATTACGAAAAGGTGTACGAGACCATTGACGATAATGAGAAGCACTACACCTACGTAAAACTCATCAATGTGGGGTCGACAGTGATCATAAACCAGATTAAAGACTATCTATCTAGTCGATTGGTTTATTATATCCAGAATCTCCACATAAAACCCCGGTCAATATGGCTCTCTCGTGTAAGTTGCCACAGAATTAGTCAAGTATTAAGAGACGCTTATCTAACTCACACCAGCATGGAGAATCAGAATATAATCTTACAGGGAAGATTGGTGGGGATTCTAACATTTCGCCCCGTGGCGAGGCCTATGCCCGGGCACTTCCTGGTCTACTGAAAAAATCAGGAGTGCCACCCAACACTAAAATCGTGATTTGGACATCTACTCTCAGGCGGACAATCCAGACAGCTCGACACCTCGCCGCGGAAACTGGATACGAGAAGCTGGAATGGAAAGCCCTTGATGAACTTGACTCGGGGGTGTGTGATGGCCTGACATATGAACAAATCGCTGAAAAATACCCAGAGGACTTCGCCGCGCGTGACGAGGACAAGTACAACTACCGCTACCGAGGCGGTGAATCGTACCGCGATGTTGTCATTCGTCTTGAACCGATTATCATGGAGCTGGAGCGCAGTGAGAACGTCATCATTGTCACTCACCAGGCTGTGCTGCGGTGTATTTATGCCTATTTCCTGAATACCCCCCAGGAGCAGAGCCCGTGGATGGAGGTTCCTCTACATACTTTGATCAAACTTACTCCTCGCGCCTACGGTACCGATGAACAGCGTTTTAAAGCCGACATCCCAGCCGTGTCTACCTGGCGTGCCAAAGGAACATCCGCAAAACATCAAGATTACCCTACACAGATCAAAGCGTGACATGCTAGTACCTAATCGATTAGGTTCTTCGCGCACACGCTTTGGCTTCCAAGCGTGTTCGATTGTTCTGTTTCCGTTCGGGCTGTGCCTTCCATAATGTCTACCGCTTCTCAAGACATCCGAAGTATCAAACACATTACATACATTATTTCCTCGACGTATTATATACCTTTTCTTCTATATAATTCATGCTTTCTACAGGTCTCAGTCGGCTGCCGGTCATACATATAGAATGGCCGGTATTGTTTATTTGATCCCAATGTCTTCGCCTTTGCATTAACACAGCCTCAGAATTCATTCACTCTGTGGGCAAGACCGTACGATTATGGAGTGAGCCTGCATGCGAGAACAGCTGGCAGGTGGAGACCAGGACCCATTGCACTTCAGCATTTGAGCGTCTTATCCGGTGAATAAAAATATAGAATTCTCTGTCCATAGTTATGACCGTTATTCGTCTATATTATGTATCCCTTGATCGAGAAGACAATTACATGCCTATTAAATGGTAAGAGCAATAACAAATGTTAAGATGAAAATATAGATTGCAAAGCAACATTGAAGACCACCGAGTCCATGCATGCGCAGCCACATCATTGGTTGGGCCGAAAGGCGGCGAGACCAATTAGTTATGTCACATGAGGCGGAAAGCGGCCGTCGGGATGGAAGGTCCCATATAGTAGTGTCACACGCTTGGCGACAACGGGAAGTAGTGCTTGCCGATACCAGAGCAAAGCTGCAACAGGGGAGCAATCGCAGCATGCGCCTCCGTTTCATTAACCTCCCATGATCAACCCTGGCTGGACATGACTCTATCCCGCTCCTCAAGTGAAGAGGCGCGACCACGGAAGCTCGCTGCCAAGCCATGTTATCAGCGTTCACAGCTCGGCCTCTCGTCGAGCTCAAGCCCCGAGACAAGTCTAGGATTGAGTCGGTGCTCGCCTACGGCGACCGACTCCTTGTCGGACTGAACAATGGGAGCTTACGGATATACAGAGTAAACGAGGTTTCCCCGGACGAACAAAATCACGATGACAGCAACAACCATAACCATGACGAGCAGGGCGGTGGAGGTACACTCAAGAACGGGGATAGTGGCCGGCCTGGGACGACGGACTCCGTCGCCAAGCCAAAACAGACTGATTTGCTTCGGGAATTGGAGAAGTTCTCGAGATACAAGATCGAGCAGCTGGCTCTGATCAAGGAGGCTAAGCTTCTCATCTCGCTGTCGGGCGGATACGTTTCGATTCATGACCTGCAGACCTACGAGTTCCAAGAACAGCTTACCAAAACGAAAGGAGCAACCACCTTTTCCGTGACTTCAAATATCGTGAACGATCCCGAAACCGGAGTTCCGTCCATTGTATCTCGTCTGGCGGTTGCGGTGAAGAGGAAAATATTGCTGTGGTCATGGCGCGATATGGAATTGGACAGCGACGCCGCTGAGATGACACTAGTCAGTGGGATCAAGACACTCACATGGGTTTCCGGGACAAAGCTTGTGGCTGGACTCGGCTCGAACTTTGTAATGGTGGATATTGAGAGTTCGGTGGTGACCGAATTAGCTGGACCGGGAAGCATTGGAGGTCTCGGGGGCCAGGAGACGAGTCGTCTGGCCGGCGTCGGAGTTGCTAGCATGAGTTATATCGGAATCGGCGGGGCAGCACCAAAGCCACTGGCGACACGGCTTATCGAAGGGCAGATATTGCTAGCGAAGGATATCAACACCCATTTCATCGATATCAACGGCAACTCCCTGGGACGCAGACAGATCCCATGGAGTCACGCTCCGGCAAATATTGGGTACTCTTACCCTTTCCTCCTCGCGCTCCATGACCCTTCAAAAGGTGTAATGGAAGTTAGGAATCCGGAGACTCTATCATTGTTGCAGTCGGTGGCTCTGCCATCTGCGAACATCCTACATTTTCCACAGCCAAATATTAGTTTGGCACATGCAGGCAAGGGTTTCCTGGTTGGAAGTGACCGCACCATATGGCGGATGGAGGCCCTGAGCTATGATACGCAAATAGATACTCTTGTGGAAAAGGGGTATTTGGACGAAGCAATCAGCCTTACTAGCATGTTAGAAGATGCCTTGCTCAGTGACAAGAAAGGTCGACTACGGGCAATCAAAATGGAAAAGGCTCAGGGGCTTTTTACCCTGCGCAAATACCGTGACTCCTTGGACTTATTCACCGAGATCTCGGCTCCCCCAGAGACTGTTATCCGATTGTATCCTGAAGTCATTGCTGGCGATATATCGTCAATCGACGAAGAGGATGAGTCTGAGGAGAGTACCACAGATGATCCATCAAAGTCAAACGAGGGTCAAGCTCAGCTGGACGGTGCTAATACAGAGAATGTTCCTGCTTCAAAGACACTCAATCATGCTCCCTCGGTGCGATCTCTCCTTCGAACTCGCACAGATGATTGGAGTGATGCTGGCAGTATCCGCGGCAAGCCCACAGAGGAAACTCGGAACGAGAAACCTCTACACGGAAAAGACCTCTTGACTGCCGTTCGCGAATTACAGAAATATCTGGCCGATGTACGGAGGAGGTTCCAGCGATTCTTGAACCCTGACGGATCACTCAAGATGATCAACTCTCCCTCTAACACAGCAAACGATGAGTTCACTGATTCAGTGATGAAATTGCTCGATGTCACCCAGGACATCCATGACCACGAATTCGCTGAAAAGTTGCGCGAGGAAGCCAGGCTCGTCGATACGACTTTCTTCCGGGTTTGCATGTACGCCACTCCTGCTCTCGCTGGCTCGCTCTTTCGAATCGCCAACTTCTGCGACCCGGAGGTCGTCATGGAAAAGTTGGAGGAAACTGGCCGTTACAATGACTTGATCGATTTCCTTTACGGAAAGAAGATGCATCGTCAAGCCCTGGAGCTCCTGCAACGATTTGGTCAAGCTGAGTCTGAGACTGAAACGGCACCGCAGCTTCATGGTCCCAAGCGAACAGTTGCGTATCTGCAAAACTTGCCACCTGACCGAATTGACCTCATCCTCGAATTCGCTAAATGGCCCGTGCAGGAAGACCCCAACCTTGGTATGGAGGTTTTCCTAGCAGACACTGAAAATGCAGAGACACTACCCCGACACCAGGTTCTCGAGTTCTTGCAAGGCATCGACCCGAATTTGGCTGTTCGATATCTCGAACATGTGATCGGAGAGTTGAACGACATGACTCCGGATTTACACCAAAAGCTCCTCACTTTCTACATGGATCGGTTAAAGAAAGACGGATCCGACAAATGGTCATTCGCTAGCGATGAGGAACGTATTGTATGGAGAAACAAATTCCTAGAGATGTTGAGATCAAGCTCTCAATATTCGCCAGCTAAGATACTTGATAGTCTTGACCGCGATGGTACCGACTACCCGTTCTACGCCTTTACGTATGCGCCTAGCTAACCATGTAATAGACCCTGAATTCTTCGAAGCAAGAGCCATTGTCTTCAGTAAAATGGGTCAACACAGGCAGGCCCTGGAAATCTATGTCTTCAAATTGGAGGATTATGCGAAGGCGGAAGAGTATGTTCAGCGAACCGCACGCTTCATTTACATTCTTGAGGGGGTTGTTCTAATAGACTTTCTGCAGGTATTGTAACCATCTCCATAAGACGGAGGATACAACTGCCGAAGCCGCACCCTTATCGGTGCTTAACTCTAGTGATAAATCATCTATACATCTGACACTACTGTCACTGTACCTCACTCCGCCTCATGGGTATGAGCGCCGATATGGGCCTGCGCTGGAGATACTGGCAAAGCACGGATCTCGTCTTCCACCAAGTTCAGCATTAGAGTTGATCCCCGAGTCACTGCCTGTTAAAGAACTTGACTTTTATTTCAAGGGCCGTATGCGGGCAGCCACCTCGGCATTAAACGAAAGTCGAATTGTGGCCAATTTGCAGAAAGCTCAGAACTTCAAGACAGAAGCGCAGCTCATGGTGGGCGAAGGGACGGACGGAAAGTCATGCAGAATGAGACATGTCACCATCACTGAGGAACGGATATGTGGCATCTGTCACAAGCGTATCGGTGGCAGTGTGATTAATGTGTTCCCAGAGTACGTTTTCCATGCAGTGGTTGTATCTTCGTTCTCCTGCTGACTTGCCCATAGTAATACAGTTGTCCACCTCGGCTGTGCCAATCGTGCATCCGCCGCTTCATGAAGTTTCTTGCAAATAGAATCAGGTTGGTCTCTGCGGTATGCATGCGTTGAACATTTGACTTCCACATCTAGTTGTTGCTGTCTTTTTATTTTCTTCTTTTTCACCCTTCCCCTCTTAGCCCTTTCTCTCTTCACATCAAAGTCTCTGCACATTTCGTTATCAATGCATATTATCGCAATGGAGTGGCGGATGATTTCTGCTCTTTGATACCCAGGATAGCGATGTTATCCAAGGATCCGTTCTATATCTTTACTTGGCTTTCGAGTCCTCATCACTTCTTGTAATATAGCCTGTCTCCTTGGCATAATCCCAACGAACGTATCGAATAGAAGTCATCAAGACTTCGGACATAGACTAGTTAGACTTTCAAGAATCCTCCTCGACAACCTCCTCTCCGTAGTTCTCTTCCTCTTTGCGTTCTTGCTCTGAGATTTGACGTCCCTGGGCTTCCGCAAGCTTTTTATCCTCTTCCATTCGTTCAGTCAGGAACACGTTGATATCATTCTGCAGATTTGGCACTAATTTTCTGAGCTCGGACAAATAAGCTACTTTAATCTGTACATTTTCTGCGGATAAATCGGTGGAGGGTAAAGGCGAGGAGATGGAGTGCTCAAAAGTCTGCGTCGACTGAGGGGCAGAGTAGACCGCGCGCAGGGGATTGGACTGGGTGGAGGAAGTGCCTGCCGCCATAATACCGGTATTGCGGGATGTCTCGGTAGTCGAGGACAATTTTAGTCGTTTGGAATCGTGTTGATCGTCAGAGTTGGTAGTGGCGGACATGGAGGGGAGAATATGTTGGCTGAGGGTTAGTTTGATTCATAGAGCAATAGTCTGCGGGGCGCCTAAATTATGGGAAGGCGGTGTTGGTTTCATTTCGGATTGTGCGCGGCGGAGTCAAGCAAAGATCGACGACAAATGGACACTTATGTACGCTTATAGTTCTCCGTCATCTCTCACGGCTGCTGATCCTTCTCTAGGCGGCTGAATTAATCTACGTATTAGATCCAACGCCAGGATCTGGTAAACAAATCACAACCACCACAACCCATGACAACGGAACATGGGGAATGTGGCTATGGTGTTCTAATAACTCCGTCTTGACTCGCTCTCATTTGGTGTCCACCGTTACGTATAAATTACGCACTGCCTGAACGACCAACAGCGAAACCATGTTACGCTCGCCGGTTTCACCTGAGCGTTCCTCCGCCCGACCGCCAAATCCCTCTCGGCCATCCTTCGATAGTGAATTGGGACGTCCAGGCTCCTCTGGAAGTGATGCCTCTTCAGTGACCTCCAATGTGACAACCATATCCGCCGTCCAAAACCCGTTTTATCAACCTCCTAGCGGGACGTCATCCCCCCGGCCGCCGCGGACTTCATCGATTACCACCGCCACCGTGAGTAGCCAGAACGGCATTTCGCCTACCCACACTCGGCCTCCCGCTTCCTTCATGCCACAGAATGAGATATCGAGTAGGAAACCGACGGGTCGGGCGCATCCGCCCGATCTGATGATGAAACATCGGTCTCGACATCACTCGCAGGGGTTCTTCGAACCTTCCCTCCCTACGGCGTCCGCATCGGACTCGACCATTTCGGCTTCGAGAATCGCAGCCCAGACTGCGATGCAACAACAGCAGCAGCAACAGGGTAGTAACACGCAACAACCACCCAAACGTCCTCAGACCATTATCTATACTCCGGACGATGGGTTGAGAACCAGGGGAGGTAGTATTTCCCCTCCCCCGCTACTGCCGGCCCCTTCCCTACCACCGCCCGGGTCCAGTGGATCCTCAGGGCAAACATATCAGAATGGCCATTCCGGTGTAGCGACCACGGCGGCCAATGTGGCGTTTCCACGGCACGCCGGCCTGCAGCCTCCCGGGCCAGAAGCGCCGCCGGAAAAGGAGCACAAACATAAAGGGGAGAAATCGAAGATGAAGCTGTTTTCGAAGCCGAAACATATTGGGATTAGCCGGGATAAAGACGGAATACCGAAGGATAGGGGGCTCCCATCGCCCAGCAAAATGGGCTTCTCCGGAGCAGGATTGTCACGCATTGTCAGTGCATCTACGACAAGCTTAGCTGACACCTTCCCATCCAACAATTCCTCGATGTATAACCTATCCAATGCCTCTGCGAGTACGGTGGTCCCCGCCGACAAGCCGGTGTCCAGTGAGAAAGAGAAGGACAAGGAAAAGGCCCATAAGCATCATTTTTTGTCGAGGCAAAAGCTGAAGTTAAAGGACCGTGATGATCATTACAACCTACCGCTGTCTTCTGCTTCTAGTAACTCCAAACCGTCTGACCCAAACGCCCCCCAGTCGCTTTACTCTTTTACACCTGCTTCTCCGGGTCCAACGTCGACGACGTTTGGCAAATCGGTGAGTGGGCTGGATATCCTTCACGGCGGTCGAGCTTTACGGGAAAAGAAGAAGGAGGAGAAGGAAAAGGAGAAGGCGATGGCAGAGTCAGAGCAACATGAATGGATGACTGGTCCGGCAGGCGCTGGTGGTGCGTCGACCGTATTTGCGGGGCCATCCTCAATTGGCTCGGCTGGAGGTCTCACGGAGGCTGCTCTTCGAGAGACCCTACAGGGTTTTGGCCTGAACAACATGTCGCCGGAAGATGCGTGGGATTTCCTGAAGGCTAAGCTGTTGGTGATTTTCGATGGGGAAGATGTCCGTATTTCTATCGAAGATCTCAACAAGCTGGTGTTGATTCACATCCAGCGCTGTGTGCAAAAGCGCACGCCATCCGCCATTGTTGATGATCTACGGGAGCTACTCGAGACCGGATTTGCATCCTTAAATCATACATTAAACGGGGTACCCGATGAGAAGCTGGTTCCTCATCTGGTGCAGATATGGATGCTTGTCTTTGGCACAATTCTTCCGTTCATACAGGCTGTTTTCTTACCCTTGGACCTCGAGTTCAGGGGTTGCGGAACTGTGATGAATCTTCGAGAGGCCCGCGAGTTCTGGGCAGCCGCCTTGAATGGGGATTACCCTGGGTGCGAGCTTGAAGTCCGCAACCTTGTGTTGATAGCTTTCCGTGATAAGGTCATTCTTTATCGTTACGACGGCCTCAAGGCTACATTTTCCCGTTTAAGTCTTGAAAATATCAACTTGGGCAATTCTGCCCTCAGTGTAACGACAAAGAGCAGCAGTAGCAGTGGTCGTCCCGCCACGGCTGCCTCGCTGGATGCCGGTTTTGGCAGCTACAATTCTCAGTCTTCTACTCTCCTCAATACTGCAGCCAGCTATTCCTCAGACTCTATGAGCTGCAACCGCAGCCGTGCTGCTTCCAACACTTCGTCCAACCCTGACCAACTTATTTTCCAATCTTTTTCGTCCCCGACACAACGGCCGACCATCATCCATCGGTCGTCTCATACCGCTGATACGTCTCATGTTATCACGGAGACCGTTGGTCGGATGCTTCAATGTGTTAGTGTTTTAGCCAGTGTGCAGACGGGCGGCAAGCCGCAAGAGAAGATCGAGCTTCTGAGCAAAGCGCTTAAGCACAATTGGCTCGGCCGTGGTCGCACCGGACGAGACCGACGAGGATTTGTTGGAGCTAAGATTCGACCGGCGATGGTTACGCGGACCGAGAGCGATGATTCCATGAGAGATAGAAACGGTGATTCGGATATCATGCGAGATGGGCATCGGGAAATAAGTGTTCTTTGAGACGGTCTACTTTGTTCATTTATCGGCTTGTCTTGGTTTTTCTGGCGCACATAGATACCTCCGGCGTGATTGTCAAAGTGGGATGTTCTTTGATATCCTTGGGAGTCTGTTGGGTATTATTTTTCCCTTTTATTTCTATTTTTTCTCTCTCTTCGTTTTTACCGTATGGCTACCGGGTCTGTTCTCAATCAATTGGCATATACATCACGCAGCGGCAATTTCAGTAACACTGCCATTCTACGAATCTAAAGGGATAGAGTGTCTGAACATTATATTGTATGGCAATCCACGAACTTTTCCAAGAAATTCACACAGCTATCCAGCCGTAGCCTCTTCATTTGCATCTAACTCGGTTCTCTACGTGCCAATCAATCCTTTTCCTACAGTACTGATCATTACTGAACGATCCGACTCCTCTGCCTAAATCTTTAACAGTGCTGTAGAACAATTCGTTGTGTCCTCAACCGAATGGCCTTCGAAGCCTCAAGCGTTCTAATCCCCTGTGCAATCCTTCACTGACACTGAAAGTGTAATCAGCAAGTCAATACATTCCGTAGTCCAAGAATCTCAGTAGCCCAGTAACACTTGTTTCTCTTGCAAGTTGATCAGGCCACCCTTTCATTCACTGAGTTCCTCCACTCACTGATCCCTTCATCTCACCAGACTACATTGATACCCTAATCACTTCAACATCTATCGTCTAAGCAGCCATAGTGTTACTGCACCTCTCTCTCTCTCTTATCATTCACAACGAAAGACTCGACATCCGAATCCCAACTCACCTCACAACATCCACTTGCACAAGTCCCACGTACCTATCTACCAACCAACGAACAATGGACCAAGCACCTCCAACTCCACCCACACCCGCCTCCCAGGAGGACACCATGCCCGAATTCACCCCCATCAACGGCAACACTGCCGAAACTTCGGTCCCCTCCCCCTCGGTTAGCTTTCCTCAAGTTCCCCCCTCCCCCCCCCAAAGTCACTGACCGACAAACTAAACAAAAGCCCTCCAGGCCGCAGCAGCAAGCACCCCCACCAAACGCGGCAAGAAATCCGCAGCCGCCAACGGCGAGAAAGCCTCACCTTCCAAGAAGGCCAAGGCAGTAGCGGGATCCAGCCCCTCGAAGAAAACCATCGGACTCATCCCGACCTCTTTCGAGGCGGCTGGATTATCCGATCGAATGATTATTCAGATGCGGGATGACGAGGGCAAGAACTGGGGCGAGATTAATGAGTCGTGGATGAAGATGACTGGTATCAAGGTGGGGACTAGTACGCTGCGAATGAGGTATACAACTATGAAGGCGAATTTTGTGGAGTTTACTGGGGAAGATGTATGTTCTTCTTCTCTATTTGCTACCTGGTGATGCATACTGACGCTAGTTGTGCGTAGGAAGCGAGACTTCTTCGTCTTAAGAAGGAGATTGAGGAGAAGTTTGAGCAGGAGAAGTGGCCTAAGCTTATGGAGGCGATTGAGGCTGACGGTGGGAAGAAGTATCCTGTTGCTGCTTTGCAGAAGAAGTTCAAGGATCTGGCTAAGGGTAACACTCATGCTGATACTGTTAAGGAGGAGTAAGAGGCTCTGGGGTTTGCTGGGCTTCCATGGGAGGTGGAGGGCAGGCTTGAGCTAGGAAAAAGGATGCGAAGTACAGATTTGGGCTAGATGCAATTGAAGATGACACAGCTGGATAGCTATGCTGTTGTTCTTGTAAAAGCCTGGCTTAATTATCCTCCATCAAGTCAATTCTAACACATGAGCTGATTGTAAAGTCAACCAATAAATGATGGTGTCACTGATAAGCCACGATAGGGCAAAAATATCCGGTTTGGTTCTTCAGCTGACGAGAATTCCATACAAGTGGGAACATCTGGCACGACGGTGTTCAATCGGAATAAATCCTGTTCGGATTATGCCCTCATCCTTGTCCATACTGGCTGAGCTCACGTATCCGGGACTGGGATTCGGGTGGGTTTGCATTCCGCGTTTTGATCATCGAGACAGAGGAAAATGCAGCTCAAATGCGATCTGTGATTGTCATTCGAACAGTAGTTTATTTTTTTCTTAATTTTTTTCCTTGCTCTTTTTATTCTTTCCTGTAGTCCACGATGGGAGAGCTAGGCATCGCTACAAATAGTACGACTATATTTATACCTAGTACTACTCGGTACTAGTACGCTATCCCTTACTCCGACCTACATCCTCTTATAGAATCACAGATAGATATAGCTCAGCGCCCTAAGGGCAAAAGTACAGTACAGCTGCACTGGCGCACTGACAGGCTGCATGCGTTTCAAAGGCAGGGGGGAGGGGAAAAAGAGACTGGAAATCATCGCCGATTCCTGCGGTCACGGTTGTGTAACCCAAAGATCGGCAGGTCTGGTCTTTGACTCATGACGATCATTAATATTATTCTTGTTATTGTTAGTATCATCATTACGGCCTTCCCCCAAGGCATCCTTCAGGCTGAAAAGCAATGAGATGATGAAAATATCCGTTGCCCGGTGATCATCTGGCCAAGATAGAGTTAGAGTCCTGAAGAAATCCTTCGTCGTAGTGAGTCATGAATACCTAAATTAGGCAGAGAACAAAATAAATCCATTCCAAAGACTCCATTCTGGATCTGCGCCATTCGAACCCATTTCTGGGGCAAACGATCATTGGTAGGGATGCCTGCATCGTGGGGCTGAACTGAAGCGCTGACAACCACTCAGCGCCTCAGGCAGAGCTGTGATTGGGACATGCAGCTCTCAGGCATCACTGCTTTGCTTCTTCCTCGAATCCGTGACTGTCCAACAATCGGTCCCTGTGCATTTTACCTTCCTTTTACCGTTTATAACGCGCTATCATCTCACGATCCCTTTCTGACTGCTACTTTCCCGGAGACTTCCTCGTCAATTCCCGCAGTGACCACGCCAGTCTCCGCTCTGTAACCACGATTCCTTTCAACTTCTATGGTAGGGTTGTCTTCATGCTACCTACCTCTCGTTCGTTCTCGATACATCCCGCGCCCAAGTCGTAGGGCATTGGACCTCTTCCGCCTCATTCTCACCGCCAGAAGAGCCCTCAGTCGTCGGCCAATCCATTCCGATTATACGAAGCAAGGCGCCAACCTAGCCTGTGATATCTGTGTTTAGGCGTCAGGGCTCGTACGTCAGTTCAGGTAAGCTGGTTTCTTCCGCCCATTGTGGTATATGTATTGGTCTTTCTCCCTTCCCTCGTGCACCTGATCCACCGACACCTACATTCACACCCCAATCCTCCTTTTCATTCATAATATCCCGTGTTAAACCTGTCACGACTATATTCCCCTCTCACTTGCTAGAGGTCACGGACAATGTCACCAAGTGCTACCGCTTTAAATCCTAGCTCTAACAACACAGCTCAACATTCCGTCATAGAGCCCGAGCCACAAAAAGAGCAAAGCTCGGATCCGCTCTTGACCCCATCTGCTCCGCTCCCCGAAACAGCTCCACAGCGGGCCCTATCTAATCAGCGCCCTGAAGCCATGGCCGATTCCAGCGTCACGGCCGCCGCCGCCGCCGCCGCATCGGAAACTAAACATGAGGCCGAGCCGCCGGTCGACAACACTACTATCAAGCCAGATGCGAAATCAATGGTTGCTGTGTCAGAAACCGCCCCGGCTTGCAAAAAACATCCGTCCAAGGAAAAAGACCCTAACGGCCGCAATCGCGACTCGAAAAAGAAGAGTCATAAATCCAAGACATCATCCGTAGTCACTCCTAGTGATGACAGTTCGGACGAGTCGGATTCCTCTGCTGATAGCTCCAGCGCTGAGGAATCTGCATCCGAAGATGAAGAATCTCCCTCCAGTTCATCTGAATCGGAGCCGGAAAGGACACATCGGCGGAGAGGGACCAAGAACAAGACAAAGAAGTCACTAAGAAGTAGTCGGAAGAAGAAGTCCCGGTCGCAATATGAATCCGAGTCGGAGTCGGACTCAGACGAGAGTGAAGATGATGATACTGCCCTCGATGAGAAGGCTGTCAAGCGGCTTGTATCCAAGCTCAGAGCGCGAAAGAAGGCTAAGAAACTCCGGTCCCAGGAAGACTCATCAGAGGACCTGGAGGACTCAGACGAACAAGCTGACCCGGACGACATGGCACTCTTGCTCGCTGAAGAGCGACTAGCCGCTTTGAGGCTGAAACGAGGTGATGGCAGGCGTCGTAACAGAACTCGCGGTAAACGGAACTCATCCGACGGGCAGACAGACGGCCAAAGAAAATCCAAAGGCAGGAAGAAAACTGCTTCAAAGATAGCTTTCAAGCGGGTAGATGAATGTATGTGTGAACCTTAATCTACCTACAGATCAGAACGGCCAGTGCTAACCCGATGATTACTCTCAGTGTGGGACAATACCATTCATAACTTCAAGCTTACAGAGACCGTGGATGACCCAGAGGCCAATGAATGGGACCAATATCTATTTACCGTACGCCGCAAATTTGACTGGGATAACAAGTACACGGAGACTGTGGTAGATTTGAAAAGCAAGTACATTCGCGATGCACTCTCCAAGGTGATGGACGGCGTTAAGGGGGTCAGCTTAGTGCAAGAGACGGCCGTCGTTGACCCCAATATGCTTTTCTTATATCTTGAAGAGACCCGCCAATACATGAAGGACCTAAAGCAACAGGCGAAGACGGAGAAAAAGAAAAAAGCTAAAAAAACCGCTGCAACCAAGGCGGCCCATCTCAAGGTCCTTGTCAAGTATCTAGATACAGACTACGCCGAGACCAAAAAGACCCTGTATCCGCTGCTAGAAGCCAACACAATAACCTTCGATCTACTCTGGGCATTGTTCAAGCCAAACACCATCGCATATACCCCAACATACGGGAATCAGGACGAGCCACGCGCTTTTAAACTGGAATATGCCACCAAGGAGTCCTCTTTCATGAAAGGCCAATGGTACAGCATTGAAGGCCGCTATCTTGAATACGACGGGAAATCTTTTGGCATGGGAACAATGCTGGCTGATGTGGAAAGCTTTAAGGGTGCCCGCAAGATAACCAGCCTCAACTGTTACCCGCTGAAGTACCACCGAGAGGCTGAAGACGTCAAAGCCAAGCTAATTGAGAGAGGCAAGAAGTTTGTATCAATGAGAGGTATGAACTACCGGTTCCACAAAGGCATGGCTTTCTACAAGAAGAAGCGGTCTGTCATCAAAGTCAACATCAACGGAAGAGTTATGATCGATCCTGCCATTCACCGTCGGATCAACCCTAACTATCCTATCAGCACTGTCCGCCCGAAAGATGCAGACTATCTGGATGACTCCGACGGCGCCGGTAGTGATGGCGGCTGCTGCTGTGTGTCAGAATCTGACTCAGATGATCCGTACGTCCACCGTCGGGACTCGGATGCCCCTAGAGTCCGGTACAAAGTCATCCAGGACAAGGAGGGCACGCCGCACGTGGTCGAAGTTGAGCTAGATGAAAATGGCAATGAAATCCAGAAGGAACAGATGGACGAAGTAGAGGATCCATCTGAGAGGGACTTCACCGAAGAGGAACTGCTGATAGCCAGTCCGGTGGTTCTGGGATTCGCCTTCAGCGAGAAATTGTGGCTAGAATTCAGCATCTCAGGGATCAGCGATATCAACTGGAATGAAGACGCATTCGACTCGTTGGTCCTTCCAGACAATCAGAAATCAATTGTCAAGGCCCTTGTCGAATCCCACACGTTCTGTGCCGCACAGAACATCGACGACGTTATTCAAGGCAAGGGCAAAGGTCTAGTTGCTGTGCTCCACGGTCCACCAGGCACAGGCAAAACACTGACGGCCGAAGGCATCGCCGAGCTGCTCAAACGTCCGTTGTACATGGTCAGCGCGGGAGAGCTGGGAACAGACTCCCGGACCCTAGAGGCTGAACTCAACAAGATCCTGGATATTGCCCATTCCTGGGGCGCCGTGCTTCTGCTCGATGAAGCGGATATATTCCTCGAGAAACGCACGATCCAGGACATCCACCGCAATGCTCTCGTTAGCATCTTCCTTCGTCTCCTGGAGTACTTCCAAGGTATTCTTTTCCTGACCACTAACCGAGTGGAAACCTTCGACGACGCCTTCCAATCCCGAATCCACGTCGCCCTGCGATACGGCGACCTCACCACCAAAGCGAAGCGAAGCGTATGGAAAATGTTCCTGGAGAAAGTCCAAGCAATGGACGGCGTGCAAACAGCCACCTTCACCGAAAAAGACTTCGACGCTCTCGCGCGCCACAATCTCAACGGACGACAGGTATGCTTACCCCCCCTCCACCACACTCCTAATCCATCCTAAAGAACCCAAACTAACACATACCCCAGATCAAAAACTCCGTCCGCACCGCGCAAGCCCTAGCCGTCAACGAGAAAAACCCCCTCTCCATGGAACACATCAAGAGAGTCTTAGAAGTAGCAGAAACATTTGACCACGATCTCCGCGGTGGAACAGGATACATCGATGCAATGAGAAGCTATACATGAGACACCACATATATAAGAGCAGATACGACTTACGAACGATAACTAGCACAAGAATATGAGAAACGGAATGAGATACGAAATGGTCGCGGTGTTTTCCTTGAGAGATACGCTATTCGTTGGTGATCAGTTTATTCTATTAGTCTATTTATCTTTTGACTTGGTTTGTTGGCGGGCTGAGCGATAGCTACTTTATTTGATCCTGGCCTCCTCTCCTTTTTTCGTCTATTTCGTTCCTCTTTCGATCATGTGCCATCATTGGAGCGGGTCTTGGGTTGATTAGTGTTTCTTGTTTTAATTATGAGGGATGAATTTACGAGGATCTTGCAGGTAGCCTGTTTCAGAAGGTAGGGTAAGAGACTCGGGATAGAGGAATAAAGACAGAATTAAGAATGGAGACCAAGATTGTCACCTCGCATCAGATAAGATCTATCTATATGCCTCGGTAAAGCGGGTCCTTTAGCTATGTCGCAACATATCACAACTACAAATGTGTACAATCTACTTTGGACTAGGCTTTGGAGCCGAATACGGACATCAGGGGAATCAATTATATTTTGAAATGCTTAGGAAATACATGTTCGTCGCCTTTGCCATCATGAAACGAGAGAAGGATTCATCAGTTAACTATCCATCAGCCCGTCATTGCTCCAGAAACAAACTGCAGCTGCATCTCCTCCGATATAAAGCCGATGCGAGTGGAAGCATACACGATGGGTAATAGGCGCAAAATGTCATACACAAGACTGTTATACAGGGAGGAAAAGAGCTGCAGACGGTCTAGTTTACCTTATGAGAGTAATTTAAGGGTTGGCCTTGACGAAGTCAATACCCTTCTGGATGTTCTTCTTGAGGTCACCAAGGCAGGCCTCGAGGAGCTTCTCCTCGTAGGCGTTGACCTGGCCAACGGGGAGGATCTTCTCAACACCGTTGGGGCCGAGCTCGACCTTGGAGGCGAAGAAGTCAACACCCTGGTCCTTGTAGAGAGGGCTGTCGACGAAAGTGGGCTCAACGACACCCTTCTCACCCTGGGCGGCCTTGAGGAGGGACTCAGCCATGCGAGCACCAGCCATGGCCATGGAGAGGGTGGCAGAGCCAGCACCATCCTTGGCCTTGACGACCTCATCACCACCGAACTGGATGCGGTTGACGAGCTGGTCGCGGGTCTCACCCTCAATGCTGGGGTGGCTGGACTGGGAGAGAAGAGGGACAATGGTCACACCGGAGTGGCCACCGACGACAGGGACGGCCTCGTTGGAGGGGTCGGTCTTCTGGACCTGGGAGATGAAGCGAGAGGCACGGACAACGTCAAGGGTGGTAACACCGAAGAGACGCTTGGGGTTGTAGACACCCCTGGCCTTGAAGACCTCGGCGACAATGGGGACGGTGGAGTTGACCTGATTGCAATTAGCGCGAGATAACTGGTAATAGTAGATGAACTCATCATACGGGGTTGGAGATGACGAGGATCTTGGCCTCGGGGGAAGCCTCGGCGGCAGCCTTAGCAAGGTCGCGGACAATGGAGGCGTTGGTGTTGAACAGGTCTGGCCATGTTTCCATCAGTATTCAACTTCCAGTGGCATTGCGAAGTCATGATGTCCATACCGTCACGGGTCATGCCGGGCTTGCGAGGAACACCGGCAGGGATGAGGACGATCTCAGAGCCCTTGAGAGCATCACGGAGGCCAGAGGGGGTAGGGTCGAAGCCAGAGACGGTGCTGTTGGTGTTGATGTGGCTCAGATCAGCGGCAACACCTGTCGCATCACCCATGTTAGTCTTGTCTTAAATCACCGAAGTCGGAGATACTGCAAGCTGTGCAAAAACATACCAGGGCCACCGCGGATATCGTAGAGGGCAAGCTCAGAAACACGGGGGTTGAGCTTGAGGAGAAGGGAGAGAGGTTGGCCAATGCCACCAGCGGCACCAAGAACGGCAACCTTGGAAGCCTGTGAACAAGAAGGTAAGTTAGTCGGCTTGTTTTTCTGTTGTCGTAGAGCTAGTTCCGAGGTCCAGAAACAAGAAGGTTCGATGGATTCAATCACACACCTGGCTGGCAGAAGCGGAGAAGGCGCGCTTCTGGAGGAGGTTGAAAGACTGGCGAGCTGCGAACATTGTGAATGATGTGTAAGGAAGGATAGAATGAATTCTATCTGAAAGAAATGGAGAGGTGAGGTGGAGAGAAAAGAAGAAAGCGGATGAGAAAGGAGAGGAAGGAAGAAAGAGAAAGAGGAATCGGCGGCCTTTCGTTGCCGGTGAGAAGGAATTCACTAACGAATTTGGTTTGTTGGCGGCTAAATCGCTCCGTTTCCGATTCTTTCCCCACGCACGGCTGACTCGGAATCACTGGTCATTTCACATGGGGACCGGCGTCAAACCTCGTATAATTTTGAATAAATACCCGACCTGTGTTGATTTTTGTTCTCGGTTTTAAATCGATCACTCGATTACATCCATGACCATGTAGCCTTTCAGTTGATCTTAATGGCATATAGAAGAAAGAAAAAAGTATAGAATGATATCATAATGCAATCCGAACGCCTGCGCTTGCGAAACAAACCCAAGCAACATCCAGAGAACCCATACCAACGGCCAACAAAAAAATCTTAAACTACCTCAAAAAGTGCAATACAGCCCAGCAGAAGAGAAAGAATATCACAACGCCACCCCAGAAAATCCACTTGTCCTGCTTCGCCCGTCGCTCCACTTTTCGGATAGTTTCACCGCTGACTCCCAGAGTATTCGCGACACTATACAGCCGGCGCTGCGTCCCCTTCAGCACCTCTCGCTGCTGTCCCAGATCCGCAAGTACAGCACGTCCCCGGTCAAGGAAGTCATCGAGTTGTGTGCTCGTGTTGGCCAAGAAAGATTGCTCGCGAAGCGCATGGGTCTCACGGTTGTAATCTGCGGGTGAAGCGCCAAAACTGAGGCCCCCTCGGGACGAAGATGGAGCAAAAGCCGACGACTGTGGAAGAGAAGATTGGGCGTATGGGTTCTCTGGGGTCGCTGTGTGATGTGGACGTCGGCCAAGTAGTTCATTACGGTTTGTCACGGATTGCTATAACATCCAAGTTTATCGGGATCAGCCCATATCAAGATTGTCGAATCTAAACAGTCTCAAGAACTTACGGCATCCTCTCGTTCTTTGCGTAGCTGATCAAAATGCTGTCGGTAATCTGCAAGCTCCGACCGGAAATTACTTCAGAACCGTGTCTCAGTCAGCTAGTCTCGATTGGCAACTTGGACATAGTTTCCTACTTTACTCTCTCGAACGCCTTCTGTTGTTTCTCGGGTATCAATTCTTTCTTCGATAGAGCTGAGTAGTCATCGACAGTACGCGATAAGGAGGCAAGTGAAGCTGCGATCTGGCCTATAATCTTGCATAAGTTTCCAACACAGCTGAAGGCTCGTACATGTTATCTTTGTAGAGCGAAAGGCCAGTCCGTACCTTGTAATGCAGGTGAGGATGTGGCAGGAGACTGCGCGAATGTGTCCAGATCGCGACGAATAGCAGAGGACTGCTTCAATGCCGAATTGAAAAGAGAGTTCTGTGCAGTATACACCTGTCAGACACAATTCAATAACCAGACGTCAATACAAAGAACGTACCATTTTCCACAGACAATCCCGTTACCGTAGACACAGTAGAGGCTTACGAAAGCGGATGAAAGAGTCAGCTGCCGTACGAGGGCCTTTAGTACAATGTACTGAGCAAATATCAACTGATTTGTGATTTTGGTGGAACAGTGATGCGGTTGTTATGCTTGTACCTTTACTACGGTCTTGTAGATAATCCCGGCCGAGGCCACATGTTCTTGCACTCGCACAATTCTGACGTCGCTGACCGCCTCTCGGCGCAGCCTTCAAATGTTCCACTATTTCCATTTTCATTGTTTACCAGCAATACTCAGCTACAAGCTGGCTTTTGCAAATTAATATTGTCTAGCAACCTGCGGGACATGGCCAGCATTTGGTTTGTCATACTATGACGCATGATTAACTTGATTGTACTGTACTTAAAGCTCGTGTACTCCCGATATACATTGGCTATATATAATGAATATTAACGATACTCCGATGCCAAACAAGGAGCAGGGTATGCCATTATGAATTACTGATACAACAAAAAGATCCATCACTGCGCCAACGCCGGCTCTTGGGAAGCGTGGGTAACAGAGCTATAATGAAATATCTGACACCCAGAAACGGTCATATAGAAACAGACCTCCAGACTGAAGAATGCCAGGAACAGTAAAACCCTCTATCTACTTGGGAGGGTACTTGTTTTGGAGAAACCACCTGACAGAGTTAAGCATTAGCAAACAGGCTTCAGGTGACATTGAGCACACCGAGGAACTTACTTGCTGACGAAATAATCAACCGCACCAAATGCTCCAACAGCGCCAGACCAAAGCCCAATCAGCTCCCAGGAGAGTTTGCCTTCGACATGTTTCCGGTATGCACCGAACCCTAGTCCTGCGCCCACCAAGCTCAAAAGCACAGCATTGCCGATATAGACCGGATTATCCGAGTTGCGACATATTCCAGAAGCCTTAGCCTTGGCCTTGGCCTTAGCTTTTCGTTCTTCTTTCGCTTTCTTGTTTTCCTCAGACTCTTCCCGCTCTACCCGCTCGGCTTGAGTGGTGGTCTTGATGTCTTGATCCAGAAAATTCGAATCCACGACGGTAACATGTTGCGAATCTACATCGACTAGCGAGGCGGTGCTCTCGGATTCATCCTTATAAACCCCGCCTACACTTGGGGCACGGCTTTATTTCAATTAGTCAGAGGGATATTCTGATATATAAATTCGTAAGCAGGCCATGTGTCGACTTACGCCTAGCTGAAGTGTTAGTCCAGATACCAACAAGTGCAAGGTTATTGGCGACAAAGAAGGTATGGAGAGAGATGCTACGTACCTCTTCTGCGGACTGTTCCGGGCCCTTGGCGGCTACTTCGGCATAAGACATGTTTGGGGTGGCACGTAAGTTGGAAAGTTATGTGTTTATGAATGTGTTTATGGTCTGCGACAGAGTTAGTTCGGCGAAGGCATGGCTGGTAGACTGTACCATGAAGTCGATAATGGGTTGTTGAGGACACAGGATCAACCTACCTGGAAAGGTAAAAGGACAAGGATGCTGATCGAAGGGGGAGCTAAGAACGGCACTTTGAAGGGACTGCTAGATGAAAGTGAAGTAAAGTTTGAAAGAAGACGCATGCATGGATTTATACGAATGCCAGGGCGCAAGAGCGGGCGTGAAAGAATGACATCACGTCACTGATCAGCCGGTGGAGTTGGAGCACTGCCAAGACCCGCCATGGTCACATTCGACTGTAACGAGAAAGGCTTGGCCCTCGTGGAGCAGTGAGTCGGAACTTGGAAGCCATATAATTAAAATTGAAACATGGATAGCGCTTAGAGATATTTCTTTCAATCCGTCGCCTCTGCAAGTCGACAGCAGCCTAAATACGAATTTGATCCGGGAATAGAATTCTAAGGGAACATAGGAAATGGATTTAGATCTGATGCACTGTACTTGATAGACCAATTACGGTCAAAAAAACACTAGAATGATTTTTAATACATATTAAAACAAATGCCAAAAGGAACTCCGGTCGTAGATAGGTATTACGTCTGGCATTTTGGAACCCCAAACAGACCAGATCGAGCTTAGAGCAGCAGCTCCAAGGGGTTCTCAACAACCTTCTTCAGCTCCTTAATCCATTCAGCACCAACGGCACCGTCGACCACCTTGTGATCAAAGCTGCCAGTTACAATGATCTGGTCGTCCCATTCAACCTCAGTGCCGTTCTCAGTCTCGACAGGGACGGCTACTTTACGGGTAGTACCAACAGCCAGGATACCAGCCTGAGGGGGGTTGATAACAGCAGTGAACCGCTCAATGGCAGGGTTCATTCCCATGTTGCTGATGGTGAAAGTGCCACCCTGGTACTCTTCCGGCTTAAGCTTGTTGTCGCGAGCACGCTTGCCAAGGTCCTTGATAGAGTTAGAGATGCTGGAGAGACCGAGACCCTGAACATTCTTCACAACAGGAGTGATCAGTCCAGCAGGGGTGGCAACGGCAACACTGATGTCGGCAGTCTTGTGCTGGCGGATGACAACCTGACCGTTCTCCTCGTGCCAGCTGGAGTTGACAGCAGGTACCTTCTGAAGAGCAGCAGCACAAGCCTTGACAAGGAAGTCATTGACGGAAAGCTTGTACTTGCCATCGGCGGAGGCATTAAGGGCCTGGCGGAGCTTCAGAAGCTTAGTGACAGACAGAGTCGTCGAGACGAAGAAGTGGGGGTTCTCTCTGGTGGATTGAAGAAGGCGGTTGGCGATAGTCTTGCGCATGGAAGTAATAGGAATATCCTCATAGGTAGGGCCAGCAGCGGCAGAAGCGCTGGGCTTGTACTTCTCAACATCCTCCTTGGTGATCTGACCTCCTCTGCCAGTACCCTTCAGGGCCTTGATTGACACACCCTTCTCCAGAGCAAGAGCCTTAGCAGCGGGGCTGATGGTAGGCTCGCGGTCGAGACTGGGCTGAAGCTTCTCACCCGAGGTCTCGGGCTCCTGAGCAGCAGGCTCGGGGGCCGGTGTAGAAGCGGGAGCAGCATCAGTAGCACCCTTGGATTCTTCCTTGCTCTCCTGAGCTGGGGCAGCACCCTTGTCACCACCGGCATCCTCAGCGGTGAACGACTCGAACGACGAAACATCAGTGCCCTCTTCAACGAGGACGGCGATAGGCTGTTGACGCGCAATTAGTAAGTGCAATACAAGACAATTGAAATTTGCATCGCAGCACATACAGAACCAACAGCAACCTCCTTCTCACCAGTTTCCTTCAGAACCTTAGCCAAGACACCTTCTTCTTGGAACTCAAAGTCCATCTGTGCCTTATCGGTCTCAATCTCGACCAGAACATCTCCGGGCTGCAGGGCATCGCCCGGCTTCTTCTGCCAGGCACCGATGTTTCCAGCAAGCATCGTTGGCGACAAAGCAGGCATGCTAATGATGGTGTGAGGGGGGAAGGCTGTAACTCGACATGTTAGAATTGGATGGCTGCACTACGAAGACAGGAAGAGTAAAATCTGGATGGGCGTACACTTGGAGGCATAGTAGCGGGAAAGGGCAGCGAAGGCGGGCAATTGAGGTCTGAAAACAGGGGTAATAACGTCAGCCTTTCGAAACATGGAACTTGAGGGTTAAAGCGCAGGCTATAACATACTGAACAGCATCCCTGAATCTGTGCATAACCTGCGGCCTCCTCAGGGAGGAGGCGCCTTTGGTGAGCATGGCGCTGGGAGTGCGCATCCGGACAGCACTGGCGACCATGGTGCCTGAATGCTGTGAGTATGATACGATGAAAGGGCCCGGAATGCGACAAAGAGAGGAGAGAGGATGGAAGGGAGGGCGAGAGGTATATCTGGCAGGTGGAAGGGCCCGGTATCAAAGAGTTGAGGAGTGCAGCTCCAGGAACTTTTCTGTTGAGCTTCCCGGTGAGAGATCGGAATAGTGTCGCCGGGTGCCGCCGGTGTCCTGCTTAGGTAAGTTGTAAGCAGGTCTCCGTCGCGTACCTGGCACGAATCGGCATCCGTAGATTATCCCCGTCCGCCGGAGAAGACACGCATCAGTTCCACTAGCGGGTTAGTAACTTAGTATGGAGTAACTCCTCTCCTCACTGCTTCTAGTCCTGCATTTGCTTTTCCATGTGGACCCCTCATATGTCGTATTTGGATTGCGCCGGACGGAGTCTCGCATAAATGGCGGAAGTTGAGAATGGCTCTGCCAATGAGCCAACCCAAACATCTCCGGCTCTGTCGCAGGCAGACAACAAAGAGCATGGGGCAGATGTTTCCACGCACTCCGAAGCCCCCGATGCTATCGAGGAAGACAAACCCACGATCCCCGAGGAGACGGAACGCCAAAATATCGATGTGGATGCTTCAAAGGACCACAAGCTAGTACACAGCGAATTGGACTCTACTGAACCTGCTGAGCTTGTAGAAACATCTTCAGCCCCGAAGGACGCTGTCGAGACCCCAACATCCGAACTAAAGCCATCGCTCCAGTCGGATGCCAAGGAGGAAAATGCAGATAACTCACAAGATGGTAGCGAGGAAGTTGGCCCTGAGCAGAGCTCTCCCGACGAGACCCCCGATAGAGACTCTGTACCGCCCCAAGATGTCCCTGTTCCGGATCCTCGCGTGCGCTCGGATTCGAGGTCAACGACTGCTACATTTGCGACACATCGTTCAGTTCCCGTTAGCTCCACTGTCTTCATTGTAACAGCACTTGACATGATTGGCGCATCCCGAGAAGCTCGGAGAACTAAAGAATTGGAGGACGCCGTGAAGAGTGCTGTTGCGAATGTAAAGCAGTCGGATGGCCAGCCCATAGATCCGGAAGTCATCTTTCGCCCTTTACTTCTTGCAACCAAGACTCTTAGCGTCCCCTTGCAAGTGACGGCACTCGATTGTATCGGAAAACTTATTACCTATTCATACTTCGCTTTCCCTAGTGCCCAGGACGGCAATGTCTCCCAAACTGATCCCACGCAAGAGCAGCCACCGCTGATTGAACGAGCTATCGATGCGATCTGCGACTGTTTCGAGAACGAAGCCACACCCATTGAGGTCCAACAACAAATCCTAAAATCACTCCTTGCGGCGGTTTTGAACGACAAAATTGTGGTGCACGGAGCTGGTCTCCTTAAAGCTGTCCGCCAGATATACAACATTTTCATATACTCTAAGTCCAGTCAAAACCAGCAGATCGCTCAGGGATCTTTGACTCAGATGGTCAGCACAGTTTTTGACCGAGTTCGTGTGAGGCTTGAATTGAAAGAACTACATATGCGTGATGGCGAAAAGGCACAGGGGTCCTCTTCTGACACTGTAACCCTGGATCCTGCGGAAACCCCTCAAACCAACGAGGAAGACCAAGCGTCTGACGTCGCCTCTGCTACCGTCCCGGATCAACCCGTTGCTAAGGAGCCTACCGAGAAGTTGACATTGCAAAGTTTCGAGTCGAACAAAGATATCACATCTGTGAATGACAACGCCCCAACAACAGTTACACGCGCCAAGGCCCGCCAGACCCCAGCGAGGTCCTTATCAATCTCGGGGGAGGAAAGAGAAGACGGTGAAATTTTAGATGAGGATGAAGACGAAGTATATGTTAAAGATGCTTTCCTGGTTTTCCGGGCTCTGTGCAAGCTGAGTCACAAGATTCTTAGCCACGAACAACAGCAGGATTTGAAGTCTCAAAATATGAGATCAAAACTGCTGTCTCTGCACCACATTCACTATCTAATCAACACCCACATTGCTGTTCTCACGTCCCCTCTGTTGACGATCAAGCAAAGCTCCAACAGCTCGGATGCTATGACTCTTCTACAAGCTGTTCGGCCTCACCTTTGCCTAAGTCTTAGCCGAAATGGCTCCAGCTCGGTGCCAAGAGTGTTCGAGGTGTGCTGTGAAATTTTCTGGCTTATGCTCAAGCATATGAGAGTGATGATGAAGAAAGAACTTGAGGTGTTCTTGAAAGAGATCTATCTGGCTATACTTGAGAAGCGAAACGCGCCCGCTTTTCAGAAGCAATATTTTATGGAAATCTTAGAAAGATTGGCAGATGACCCGCGTGCATTAGTTGAGCTATATCTCAATTATGACTGTGACAGGACAGCACTGGAGAACATTTTCCAAAATATCATCGAACAACTTTCTCGGTATGCCAGTGTACCAGTCTCCATTACTGCAGCCCAGCAGCATCAATTCCAGGAGCACCATGTCAAGATCTCTCGTTTGGGACTTGAGTGGCACCAACGTGGTACTTTGCCTCCGACTCTTACTACCGCGAATGTAGCCAACATTCAACAGCCTAATCTGCAGGGTGTTCCTTCTGAGTATACTCTCAAGCACCAATCGGTTGAATCTTTGGTGGAGATACTGCAATCGTTAGACAACTGGGCCTCTCAGCGTATGGCTGATCAAGCTGTCCCCAATATCTCGTCTCAAAAATCCATTGACAATCCGAGAGAGTCATTGGATACAAATGCCGGTGCATTCCTTTCATCCCCAAGGGTCGACGTTGTCGAGGGTAGTACCGGTCGGTCAACACCAGTGGCAGAAGATGATCCAAGCCAGATGGAGAAAGTCAAGCAAAGAAAGATTGCACTCATGAATGCCGTCCAGCAGTTTAATTTCAAACCTAAGCGTGGCATCAAGCTATTCATACAAGAAGGTTTTATCAAGTCCGATCCTGTCGAGATTGCGTCCTTGTTATTCCGTAATGACCGGCTAGACAAAGCTATGGTAGGAGAATACCTCGGCGAAGGTGAAGCCGAGAATATTGCTATCATGCATGCATTTGTTGACATGATGGAGTTCACAAAGCGGCGTTTCGTTGATGCTCTCCGTGGCTTCCTGCAACATTTCCGTCTGCCTGGAGAGGCACAAAAGATCGATCGTTTCATGCTCAAGTTTGCAGAGCGCTACACGACCCAAAATCCAAATGCTTTCGCAAATGCTGACACGGCTTACGTTCTTGCGTACTCCGTCATCTTGCTTAACACAGACCTGCACAGCAGCAAGATGAAGGGACGTCGTATGACGAAGGAGGAATTCATAAAAAACAACAGGGGCATCAATGATAATCAGGACTTACCTGAGGAATATCTTACGTCTATTTACGACGAGATTGCAGGTAATGAAATTGTTCTTGATACGGAGAGAGAACACGCTGCAAACGTAGGAATGCCCACGGGCGCACCCGGAGGGTTGGCATCAAGGGCTGGACAAGTCTTTGCAACTGTGGGGAGGGACATCCAAGGCGAAAAGTACGCTCAGGCCTCCGAAGAGATGGCTAACAAGACCGAGCAACTTTATCGAAGCTTGATTCGGGCGCAACGAAAAACGGCAGTCAGGGAGGCTCTCTCACGGTTTATTCCTGCTACCTCTGTTCGACACGTTGGTTCTATGTTCAATGTCACTTGGATGTCTTTCCTTTCCGGCCTATCTGCTCCAATGCAGGACACCCAAAACCTTGAAATGATTAAATTGTGCATGGAAGGAATGAAGTTGGCAATCCGAATTAGCTGTTCTTTTGACTTGGAGACTCCTCGAGTTGCATTTGTGACGGCTCTGGCCAAGTTCACGAACTTGGGCAACGTTAGAGAAATGGTGGCGAAGAATGTCGAGGCTTTGAAAGCTCTACTTGATGTAGCACTTACAGAAGGGAACTACCTCAAAAGCTCCTGGAGAGAGATCCTCACATGCGTTAGCCAGCTTGATCGGCTCCAACTTCTCACTGACGGCGTTGACGAAGGATCATTGCCCGACGTTTCACGGGCGCGTATTGTGCCTCAAGCATCATCAGATGGTTCCCGAAAATCCTTCCAGTCATCAAGACGGCCGCGTCCTCGATCAATCAACGGTCCTACGGCCTTCCGCACCGAAGCTGCAATGGAAAGCCGATCTGCTGAGATGATCAGGGGCGTAGATCGAATCTTCACAAATACAGCCAATCTCTCTCATGAAGCCATCATTGACTTTATCCGGGCGCTGAGCGAAGTAAGTTGGCAAGAGATCCAGTCTTCCGGACAAACCGACTCTCCCCGTACGTACAGTTTGCAGAAGCTCGTTGAGATTAGTTACTATAACATGACGAGAGTCAGGATAGAATGGTCAAAGATTTGGGAAGTCCTTGGACAGCATTTCAACCTTGTTGGATGTCATTCCAACACAACGGTGGTCTTTTTTGCGCTAGACTCGCTTCGTCAGTTGTCGATGCGCTTTATGGAGATCGAAGAACTTCCAGGTTTCAAGTTTCAAAAAGACTTCCTCAAGCCATTTGAACATGTCATGGCTAATAGCAACGCGGTAACCGTGAAAGACATGATTCTGCGATGCCTTATTCAGATGATTCAGGCCCGTGGAGATAACATTCGCTCTGGCTGGAAAACGATGTTTGGCGTCTTCACAGTCGCTGCTCGCGAGCCCTATGGTAAGTGATGATACTCCGGGGTTGCTATATGGAATTTGCTAATGTGGTTATAGAGGGCATTGTGAATATGGCTTTCGAACATGTTACCCAGATATATAACACCCGGTTTGGCATTGTGATCACGCAGGGTGCTTTCCCCGATCTGGTCGTATGCTTGACAGAGTTCTCTAAAAATTCGAAGTTCCAGAAGAAGTCGTTACAGGCTATCGAAACTTTGAAGTCAACCGTCTCAAAAATGCTCAGAACGCCTGAATGTCCTCTCTCTCATCGTGGATCATCAGCTGAAGAATTCCAAGATGAAAATACAAACCTTGCCAAGCAACTTAGCCGTCAATCTAAGGAGGAACAGTTCTGGTACCCTATCCTAATTGCGTTCCAAGACGTATTGATGACTGGTGACGACCTTGAGGTTCGCTCACGGTAAGCTCCCTTTGTCCTTGACATGCTAGCATTTGGCTAACATAAGATCTAGAGCTTTGACGTATCTTTTCGAAACGCTGATCAGATATGGTGGCGATTTCCCTCAAGAGTTCTGGGATGTTCTCTGGAGACAGCTGCTTTATCCTATCTTCGTTGTATTGCAGTCCAAGTCGGAAATGTCTAAAGTACCTAACCACGAAGAGCTATCTGTGTGGCTATCCACTACGATGATTCAAGCATTGAGAAACATGATCACCCTTTTCACGCATTACTTCGATGCGTTAGAATACATGCTGGGCCGCATACTGGAGCTCCTTACACTATGCATTTGTCAAGAGAACGACACTATCGCGCGAATCGGCAGTAACTGTTTACAACAGTTGATCTTGCAGAATGTTATGAAGTTCAAGCAGGAGCACTGGGAGAAGGTGGTTGGTGCCTTCGTGGAGCTTTTCAGCAAGACTACTGCCTACGAATTGTTCACCGCTGCTGCAGCCATCTCTACAAAGTCTTCCGAGTCGCACAAATCCACCAACGGGGAAGTCGCAAGCAATGAGGGAGGTGCACAAGAGACTGCTGAAACATCCTCAGCACGGGAAAGTCTTACCGACGCTTCGAAAACTAACGGACTGCAAAATGTGACACATGAGCATGAGGAAGGAGATATGCCTACCGCTGCCAACTCTGGGCTGGAAGACTACAGACCTCCTGCCGAGGTACAGCAACAGCCAGCTGCGGTCACTGCTGCCCGTCGTCGGTACTTCAACCGTATCATAACGAACTGCGTCCTTCAATTGCTTATGATCGAAACTGTTCATGAACTCTTCTCCAACGACAAGGTTTATGCGCAGATTCCGAGCCATGAGCTTCTTCGACTGATGGGGCTGCTGAAGAAGAGTTACCAGTTCGCGAAGAAATTCAACGAGGACAAAGAACTCCGCATGCAGCTTTGGCGCCAAGGATTCATGAAGCAGCCGCCAAACCTTCTCAAGCAGGAGAGTGGAAGTGCTGCAACCTACGTCCACATCCTTTTCCGTATGTACCATGATGAGAGGGAAGAAAGGAGGAATAGCCGTGCAGAAACAGAGGCGGCACTCATTCCGTAAGTGTCTGGTTATAACGCCGTGCTAATGCTTTGCTAACCTATTTTCTTTAGACTTTGTGCCGATATAATTCGCAGTTTTGTCCTTCTTGACGAAGACTCGCAGCATCGAAATGTGCTTGCCTGGCGTCCCGTAGTGGTAGACGTGCTGGAAGGATACACGAACTTCCCTTCTGAAGGCTTTGACAAGCACATCCAAACCTTCTACCCGCTATCTGTTGATCTTCTCGGTCGCGACTTGAACCCTGAAATACGCATAGCGCTTCAATCATTACTTCGCAGAATCGGTGAAGCAAAATTGGGAATCCCTGCTATGCAAGCACCTGTTAGCGCGAGAAGCTCGGTCTCCCATCGCAAAGACAGCGTCGGACGTTGATTGCGTCTCATTTCCCCTTTATTTCATTTTAACCTTTTCGTGTTTTGGATATCCCGCCTACCTGATTGCTTGTCTCTCACTGGATGGCGACTGTTGTAGACTTACTTTTCTGTGCCTAACCTTTCTATGTGAGCCGGATTTTATATATGTACCTAAAAGAACCGGATTTTTCCTAATGACCGTAACTTTCCATATTTCGGAGGGCGCCGAGAACCGTCCTCAGTAGGTAGTTTGCATTCCCGAGGTCGCACAGCTACTAGTCTTACAAACACCCGCTACCTGCATTCAATTTCTATAACTAGAGGAAAGTACATGTAAGCGATGCTGTAGTGCTCAATTTAAAGAAGAATATCATGGAAGTAAGAAACTCTTCTTCACTGGAGATGTGTCGCTGTCGTGGGACGAAGAAGTTGAATGTTCGATGGGTCGGTCTCGTGTCCTCGTGTCTTCTGGACTGCTTCTATTGTCAAAATTTATGCCGCAATAAAGAAGCTTGTCCTCAAAGCGAAGTAGTTCTTATAGTAAAATATAGCAAAAGTGGATGCTCGTCTCGGCTCTAGCATAAAACCGTGCGATGAGATATAGTGCTCCTAGGTGAAGCCTCCTTCGAACACCCCCAGTGGAAAACAGACTGCGATATACTGAGTTCCGTTGTTCTTGCCTATCTCAATTTGTCACTATTTACCTGTTTGCGTTCGGTGCTGGCGTGACCTTCGTCAGCTGCACCTTTACCCATGCTGTTAGGCATCGCGCTAAGCATGGTAATTCATCCAACAGCACGAGTCAGAAGGCCGGCAAGTCTTTTAATTGAGTCCTATAAGAGTGTATAGGAGGATGGATGTGGGAAGGCTGAATTCTCGCTGACCTCCGAAGCTATTCGAGCGAAGATAATCCAGCTCATCTGATTACTTTTAAGTGTTAACCGGAGATGGTCCGTGATCGAGAGCACCAAGAACAACCGAACTTATATTGCTTCCTCTACCTGCCCTCAAGCTTCCTCTTCACCATGCCACAGAAGCTCTCGAACAACACCGAATCTGTGCCCTTGAGCCATCTTATCAGTACACGAACGCCTTTCTCCTCGATGCCTTCTTTCCTCAGATGCACTTTGAACCCCAATGCTGCGCTACTGTCATCAACTTCTATATTCTGCATTGCACTAGCAGAACCTTTCATCTTTCTACGCGCTTGGCGGGACCACACATTTTCCATAGCGAACCCGACTCCCACGGCTAAATTATAGCGCCAGAGCCACTGAAGAGGAAGAGAAGTGAGTTCCTTATCAAGCTTTTGACTTGCATCGTCGATAGAGGCATTGGGGATATCGAAGATGTATTCGGACGGGAATGGGAGAAGGTGCTTCGGAAAGGTCGTGATCGATCTCGCCACGTCCTGTCGCTATCAGTATTCCAGAATGCATGTGCGAATGAGCGAGACATACCACAGAAGGGCGGAGATCACCCCACGACCATGCTATCGCCCATCTCCTAGTCTTAGAGCCCTGGACAAACTCCGTGACCGCATAGTTGTGATTGCCATGTCCAATGAGCTTCTCGACCAGTATGGAGACGCTGCTCAGTTTTCCCAGCATCGAAGTATACCATAAGACTTTCTGGCGGAGCCTGAGGCTTTCTTCGATCATGCGAGACACGAAAGCAACTTCCCCTCCTTGGGTAACCATTTCAACTTCTGCACCGGTGCATGCCTGTATCTAGTGTGAGTACATGACCTTTGCGTTGGGATATGTGGCTTACAGAGAATGGTGGCCGTTCTTTTGCCTGCGCTGAGGACACCAGCTCCTCGCGAGAGGTATAAAATGGGGGGTTGCACATCGTGAAATCAAGGCTTTAGTCACATTAGGAGCAGAAATACGTAAAGTATCCGCAGATTCACATACCCTTCGACTTCAAGCTTCTCCAGGGGAATGAGATCACCATTGGAATCGGTCTTGACAATGCGGATTCGAGACTCTAACCTATTCCCAGACACAGCTTCTTGAGACGTTCGTATATTGTCATCATCGATGTCTAACGCGTCCTTTAGTGATAGGTTATTCATTTCTCAAACAGTCAACCTTACCTGTTGCTACAAAATTCCACTGTGGCCGAACAGAGCAGCCAAGAAGCGGGTATATGCTGCAGCATCCTGTTCCTCTGTGGAAGTTAGATCAAATTTACCCCGACTGATGATGGAGCGAGCTGTACATGTCAAGCCCGATAACCTTTCGATCAGGGTCGTAGTTATCACGATATTCATCGCCAGTAGTATCTAGAAGGCTTTGCAACCATAGGATATAATTTAACCTGACATCATTAGAAATGGAAATCCATGCTCGGGGTCATCGCGCACCTATTTGGCACCTATAACTTTTGTCAGTAGAAACAGAAACAGATGTACACTGGCTGGTACATACCGGCGGGCATAACCTATTCTCCGGAATGTGAACGTTCAAGCCAAAGTCTCGTTGCAAGAGACTTATGCTTAATTGGCTATTGAAAGTTAATCGAAGGCCAGACCCCACAGCTTGTAGATCTCACCGAACAGCATCCGGATCGCTGAAGTCCAATTGATTATTTGGTTTCAGACTGTAACATCTCAGCACGATCGCCTTTGAACGTGAAACCTCTAGATTTCTGGTTCGATGGAGCCAAGACTTACTACTTCGCGAAATCGGGTGATTGCAGTGCAAGGGTGGCGAAATCGACGTCATCCTTGTAGATATTGTTGCGGATTGCCCTCATGGTGCTACATGAAATCTGGTCAGTAAATCAATGTTGCGAGTTTTGCATTTACTACATGTCACAGGACTCAAACATGATGATCGTAGAGCCATTGGGAAAGTACCCAATACGTATCTTGATTCTTTGAATAGTGTTGTTCGCTTGAGTAAGGGTGGGGCGTACCGGCGATGTTCGAGACAAAAGGAGCGGTTCGCTTATCAGCAGCTCCATACAGAGTACGCAGTAACGTATGTACTCTGTACAAGTATTGCACTTGCGAGGTTCCGCAACTTCCATGGGACACTATTTTAGTGCCTCTGGTGTGTGGATTCGTGGAGGGAAACATCAGGTGACGAGATCTCAGGCTCAAGCATTTAATTTGGTAAGGCTATAAGGCTAAGAAATAACGTGATGTCATTGGGGGCTCGGCGCCTACGTACCCCCCTCAATCATTGTTCGTTAGAGCAGAGCCCACTTTTTCAGGAACACTTGGCTGCCTGGCTGCACTGCAACTCAACTCCCCACGTTGAGTCGCTCTTTTTTTCAATTCAATTCCCCAAGGGCGTTGTTGTAAAGCGTCACAATGGATAAGTTTAAGGAAAAGCTCCAGTCGTTGGAGGGTTCTTTTAAAGGTCGTCCTATCCACCAATTTGCTACGAACGAGCTGACTGGGCCCGATAGATGCCAACATTGTAGAGGAGGCGCACCACGTCAAGCATAAGGTTGGCAAATTCTTCAACATTGTCAACCCGAACCACCGCCATGACGAAGCGCATGAACAAGAAACCGACAGAAAAAGAACAGCAATCGCCGAATCCCATCGTTTTGAGTCCTTCGCTCCAATTAGGGAGGGCAATAAGGTCAAGTGGTATGTTGATGCGCTAGACTATCTCTGGGCTGTTTCGATCGCTCTCGAAAACGCAAAGGAGGTCATCTACATCGAAGACTGGTGGCTTTCCCCGGAGCTATTCCTACGCAGACCCGCGTATCAGAGTCAGGAATGGCGACTGGATCAAGTGCTCAAACGCCGTGCAGAAGCCGGAGTGAAAATCTACGTGATCGTATACAAAGAGGTCAGTCGCCTTCAGTTACACTGAAATACTTAGTTACTTATAAAGTCAGGTTAATCAAGCACTGACTTGTAACTCGGCCCATACGAAACACGCGTTACGCAATCTCTGCCCAGAAGGTTCTCCTGGCCATGGAAACATCAAGATTCTGCGACATCCGGATCATAACATTTTTGAGAATGCAGCGGACATGACATTGTACTGGGTGAGCTAATGCATCTAAACATGCATAATGGTCAACAACTGATGATGACCAGGCCCACCACGAGAAATTTATTGTTATTGATTATGCTCTGGCATTTATTGGAGGCATCGATCTATGCTTTGGGAGATGGGATGCTAATCAGCACCCTCTGGCTGACGTTCACCCATCAAATATGAAGGACGAGGTCTTCCCAGGACAGGATTTTAACAACAATCGCATCATGGATTTTCAGAGTGTTGCACAATGGCAAGCAAATGAACTCAGCAAAGCGGACTATGGCCGAATGCCCTGGCATGATGTGGCCATGGGTCTTATGGGTGACTGTGTCTATGACATTGCTGAGCACTTTGTCCTCCGGTGGAACTTTATCAAGCGCGATAAATACAAGCGTGATAAATCTGTTGATTGGCTGATGCTGGAGGGCCGTCTCGGCGAAGATGAGGACCTAGTCGCTGTGCAGCGGCCTAAGTACCCTTGCGGTGACTATGTCCAGCATCCTTATGAACCCCTAATCTCGAAGCCCCGTGGAGCCCAAGGCAGTGCGCGGGCACAAATTGTGCGCAGCAGCGCTGACTGGAGTAGCGGTATCCTGACTGAACACAGCATCCAGAACGCTTACAAGGAGATCATCAGCAAAGCCGAACACTATGTCTACATTGAGAATCAATTCTTCAGTACGTTCGCCTTATTCCCCTTTCACTATGCATTTAGCTGATTCTGTTAGTCACGGCCACTGGAGATCAACAGAAGCCTATACTTAATACGATTGGGCGCGCAATCGTTGATGCTTGTGTCCGTGCTTCCAAAGAAGGCAGAAAGTTCCGGGTGATCATTGTGATCCCGGCCATTCCTGGATTTGCAGGAGATCTTAGACAGACTGAAGCAACGGGCACCCGGGCGATCATGGATTACCAGTATAAGTCGATCAACCGTGGTGAGCACTCGATCTTCGGCCAGCTCAAGCACGCAGGCGTCGATCCTACACGTGAGTAACCTGACTTCTTTTCTATTAAAGCAATTGCTAATAGGCGAAGAACACATCTTTGTTTTTAACCTGCGCGCATATGATCGTATCAACAAAACCCCTGCTCTGGAAGAACTAGAGAAGGAAGCGGGAGTGACATACAATGACATCCAGCGTGGAATTGCGGAGTCCATCATGAGTGACAGCGTTCATCCTTCCATTGGTAAAGAGGGCGATAAGGGCGAAGTTGGCTATGATGACGCACAGAAAGAAAAAGAAGAGAGGCTTGCAAGGTTGCGGCGATATGAGGAGCAGGCCGAGCGCCACAAGCCCGAATACAAACCATCCAGCAAGGATACGGTTGCCCATACGACTATGCTAAACGGTGGCAGGATGTCTGATGAAGCCTGGGAGGGTGAAGCGGAAGCTGAAAAAGACAACATCGTCCAGGAGGAACTCTATGTCCATGGCAAGGTGTGCATTGTAGATGACAGAGTTGCTATTTGTGGCAGTGCCAACATCAACGATCGGGTATGTTTCTTCTGATTTAAAGCCACCAAGCCATAGCTGACTGTACCAGTCGCAACTGGGATATCACGACAGTGAACTGGCTATCGTTGTGGAGGATCAGGACTTCATTGACAGCATGATGGATGGCAAGCCATATAAGGCAGGTCGTCTAGCCGCTACACTCCGACGGCAGCTCTGGAGGGAACATCTTGGGCTGCTCCCAGCACAGGATTATGACGCTTCGCAAAGCCCCAATGCGCAGCCACCAAATGTTTGCATGAACCATGTCATTGAGGGACCCGAGAACAACTTTGTTATGGACCCTATGAGCGACCCGCTCTGGGAGATGTGGACCGGACGGGCGACTACTAACACCGAAATATATCGAATGCTCTTCCGTGCCGATCCGGACGACAACATCAGGAATTTCGACGACTATGACTGGTTTTACCCTCGTAACCGGATGAAGCAGGGACACTTGTTTGACCCGTTTCAACGTGCCAAGGACGTTCGGGAGAAGTTGGATGAGATTAAGGGTCATTTAGTTTGGATGCCTCTTCGGTTCTTGGAAGATGCTAGTACTATGGCCGAGCCCGGGCTACAGGTCAACCAGATCACTGAGGTAAGCGATCGACCGATCTAAGCGAGGAATTTACTAATAGGGAGCAGAGTATCTATACCTGAGTTTTCTTGTTTGGGGTTTACGTTCCGGGTTATTTGATGATGGTGATCTCTCCTAAAATCAATGCACATGGATACAACTTTGGCACCAATCGTTGCAAAAGCTACATAGCAGCATAGAAATCTCCGCCTCCCTTTTCGGGTTGACCTTGACGAAACTTAGACGAATTTGATATCCTTAACGTTTTGTGTACGAAGCGCGATGTATTGAGTGGAGCGATCAACTGGGCTTCAAACGTAAGTCCCACGATGCATAACTCAATTAGTCAGGCTATAGCTATGGCATTATTGAATTGGGTAAACCATAATCTTCCACGAAGCTTCCAAATTCTAGAACAGTCTTAGAAGCCCAGCCAAGTATATGTATTGCACATCAATACTCTGTACAGAGCATCGTATGATCAGCACATAAGAGTTCAGGCCGATCTCACCCCTTCTAGTACATATACCGGAGCACTTTATATACACATCTCAAAACACATATAACTCATCTCCCAACCAACACCCTAGGCCTATTATAGGCAGCACCCCAGAAATAAACTTTCCCAATCTCAATCCCAACACTAAACGCATCATCGACAATCACCCCAGACGGCAAGTCCGATCCAAACCTTCAAGACCCGCAAAAACCAAAAACTAGAAAAACAGAATAAAACAAAATAAAATAAAATAAGACGAAAGACAACAGCAATCCTAACAACCCCCAATCCCATGACCATTACTCCCCCCTACCTCCCACAAAGGAACTCTTTCCCAGCAGGATGCAAGCTGAAACTCCCTGCGTCACTCAGAAAATAAAACCACTGGCATGAACTGACCTTGCCCATACATACACACACACACACACACACACACACACACACACACACACACACACACACGCACGCGCGCGCGAGGTTAACGACCTCACATCCGCCGATCCATTGTAACGATGCTTAGCCTAAACCATGTCTGGCTCTTTCTCCCTTCGGAGGTTAAAAAGAAGCATACTTTTTTACCTTACCAACAAGTCCAACAACCAACCCTCGCACGACAGAAAAGCAAAGAAAGAAATCCCCAACCCCAGTTCGAAAAAGAAAAAGAGAAGAAAAGAAATAAAACCCGTTACAAAGTATGCATAAAGCAATCTTAAACGCTCCCCCAATAGTTCAAATAGGATATCTGTTTATTTCGAGAAGGGAGGGAGAGAGAGAGGCCTGAGCGAACGGAAAAGCATTCCCGCATAACGAACCTCCCGAATTGAGTTTATAGAAGGTATACTCCGTACATACGTACATCCATTCCCCCCCTTGTCTCCATATTTTTTTTTACCAACTGGAAGTCAAAGTTGCAGGTTCGTTAGTTTTGGGGTTGCCAGGTTTTTTACTCTTTTTCACCCCCCGGCCCAAACACGTCGTACTGTGTCGTACAATGGAATGAGAAGTTTCCAGGTATGGGGTGGATGGGTGACTTCATTGCCCGTTGGGAAGTGGAGCCTGGCGTGGTCCCTGTCATACGGAGTATAATTCTTGGGATATAATAGCCTCCTACTATTTATGAGAGGTGTTACAGCTTACCTTCACGTGTGACGTTGGAGGATGAGACGCGGGATGGCCGTGTAACGAATAGTAATCAACTACGAACGCTATATTCCAGGTAATAGGGTAAGAATTAAAGACGTAAATTAAGTAGTAGATTGGGTTTTTGCGTTGCCGCATGGGGGGTTCTATCTTCTATCTGCATTCTTAACAGAACAAGGAAAGAGGAAACAAGATGAAAACACACACAAACACGGTCGTAGGGAATTAGGGTGTCGAAACCGAAAATGTCCATGGCCAACTTTTTTTGTCCGGGAGATTCTGTTTTTGGTCCCAGAACCTGGACTCCAAGTCCATGCTTGCTGAAGAAAACCAGCTTCATCAAGGGATGCGTATCAGAGCGGAGAGAAAGAGAGAGGAGAGAGAGAAGATGAGAGAGGAAAGGATTCGAGACTGCTTTGCTTCCAGCCTTGATCGGTCACCCTTTTTTCTTGGCGGATCGACGATCAGACATTCAATCTGGACTCCAGGGATGGCGCTGATTGGCTGCCTTTCACCCGGGAGAAGGATCCGTCGAGGCTAATTCGTGCTCTGGATCGAAACCAAAGAATGTGGGAATGCAGGCGTCTGAGACAGTGAGAAGGGAATTAAGGAAATGGAAGGGAAAGGGAAACAGTTGATTCGTAAGTCGGACGGTAGGAGGGTTGCCCGCCTGCAGCTGTCACGCAGGGATTTTTGCTGCAGCAAGAAACGTTTTTCAAGGGTCTGAATCTCAGAAGGGGTCAGCGGTCGATCCTCAAGCTCTCGTTACACAGGGAAAGCAGGATTCGCTCCCTCATTTGTACCACTACTTACCGAAGTATACCAGACCCGATGGCGACCAGTGTAACCGCTACTCAGGCCTTCGCGGTGTGGCATGAGTTACAGCGGCAGTGATTACAGATTTTGCAGCGCCAGATGGCCACAAATGGCCCCGAGGTGCAGTCCGAACAGCGCCAGGTGAGGATGTTCCCATTGGTGGCTTGCACAATGGCGAAAACATGTCCCGGGCATTGGTTGGCCATGGTGATGCTGTCCAGGCATGTTAGTTTAACATGTTTCAGTCCCAAAAGGCTTGGTCCACGTCACTTACCACACAGGAGCTCAACGTAAGGTTAGAGTCGGGGGAAGCTTTTTTGGGTTCGGTCACTGAACCTTGGTTCACACAACAAACAATGTTGAAACTTGGGTTTGGAAAGAAGCGGAGATGGAAATTTAAAGCAAGCTCTAGGGAGTCTTTTGCGAGGGATGAAGAAGAATAGTAAGGGAGGCCGTATTCACTTGGTAGTAAGGAAGTTGCAAGGTCAGAGATGCAGGTAGACTGAAGAGGAATGAGAAGATGCTGTTGTAGAGACGAATTGGCAGACTCTCCATAGTATATATAGGCGCGAGCTTTCGATTAGGACTGGGGACGAGTTACCGTCTGCTAAGACGCATTGAACACGACCTTTCTGTACAGGAAACGGTAAGATGTGTGAAGTCCAGACCGGGCAGCTTCAGCTACATGCCACTAGAATGATGCTAGAATTATGATGCACGTATCCGTACCCGGTTATTGTCTAAGGAGCATTAGTGGGGTGGAGCAACCTGAGTGTGATAGAGGAGATGTGTACGAAGGAAAGAGAGAAAAAGGAAGTAGAGAATCCAAAGACAAGAGTAATTGTGTGTGAGCTGAGGATCGTGTGTCAGAGAGAGAATAAGAGAAAAAAGAAAGAAAAAAGCCACGACGGGGAAAATCTGGTAAGAGCCCAACAATGGATGTCAATAATGGGCAGGAGACCAATCATGATTTAACTTAACAGTCGACAGTAAAGTGATATATCGCCAGTGGGCCAGAGAAAGTGGGTATGAGAGGGCGCCCGGGGAGCTGGAAAGTTATGCGATAGTCCGGGAACCCTGGAGCTTCTCTTACCATATTCAGGATAGGTCTGGGGCTCACGATGTCGCAGATCTCGAAGATCATCATTCGATGAAGGAGATAGCCGGGATCGGACAAAGGCGGCAGGACTATTGGGACTCTACGCAGCTATAACCAGGGCTACAGATCTGGGCCTAAAAGTAAAGCATCGGATACTGGTGATTGGTGTACGAAGGATTCCCAGTGCCAGTGCATTGGGAACTTCTGGCGTGCAGATCCTTCCCAAGATCCATCCTGACGGAGTATATTTTCTTTTTTTGATAGCTTGAATCTAATGTATTTATAGCGATGTTACCTCCATTTGGTATTTTATTAATTTGGATTTTTCTTTCACCTACCTATTCCCCTCTCTCTATTGCAATAATTAGTCATATATTAGTATATTTTTTAATATTATTGCTAGAGTAACCTGAGAAGCTCAGGACCCATGTGACAAATAGTTTTCCTTCATTTTCTCTCTCACACACGCACACTAGCTCCCTTAGCCCTATCATAGTCTCGAATTCCATGGCTTGATGTGTTTTCCTTTTTTTTTTTTTTTCTTTTTTTTTTTTTTTTTTTTTTTTTTTTTTTTTTTTTTTTTTTTTTTTTTCTTTTTCTTTTTCTTTTTCTTTTTCTTTTTTGACTTACCTGAAATTTCTTTCTGGGCAGGCGATTTTTGACGGATAAGAAACTTAGAAGTCAATTTTAAATTTTGTCGCACTCCCTACCCGAAACCTCAATTCCCAATTCCGCATCATGGTTGGTCGTATCTGACTTGTTTGGGCTCATCCCCAGCGGCACACTGTCCCATCAGAAACCTCGTAGAAGAAGGGTCTCCCTTGTCCATGTAACATGTTATAGCCACCGTATCACTGAGTTGCACCGGCACCCCTTTACCGAGGCCCCCGGTCTTTTAGCATCCCAGGCTGGAAGTTTAACTGCTCTACCATGAATCGGTGAGATGCTGACCATGCAGGGAAACCTTTTAGGTGTTCTGGAAGGGAGCAATCAAAGACGTCCGGAGTATACATCCCATTCCGGACACGTGATATGCATCCTCAGGTGAGATTCCCATGCAGGTCTGAATGTATGTAGTGCATATCGATGTATGTTTGGATGTGCATCACACCTACATAAGACGACTAGCAGTACTAGTCTGTCATTATGAAGTATAGTTGATGTGCCTCCCGACAAGAAAGGTTATCTCACTTTGGATTATCGCATAATCTGACGCCAATTTTCTCTCGTGTTTTTTATTTATTAATTTTTTTTTTTTTTTGCCGCATTTCAAATTTTTTGTGATGTGATATTTTTTTTTTTTTTTGTTTTACCCACTCTTCCCTCGCTCTCGCTCTGGCGCTGATCTTAGTTAGCTGATCGCGACGGACAATTGCAGAGGATCCACTGACCCGCCAACCGGGTTCGTGAGTCGGTGGCTTCCCAATGCAAATAGAGTTAACAACCAGCTTAGTGCTGTCAAGCCACCAGCGCATAGGATGTGCGACCCGGTCCCGAGAAAGGGGTAGTGGAGGCGGACACTTTACCTCGTTCGTTGGGTGGTGGCAACAATTGAAATCAAACATATCGTAAATTCGCTTCTAACTTAAAAGCCGGCAGTCAGTTAACATCCGGCAGACTGACCTGTCGACCAATTCCAAAAATTGGGAAACCAGGGGGTTCCTCAGCGCGCAGCCGAAGGTGTAAGACACCCACTAGCTCCAAGTCCTGTAAGCTAATTAGGCCCTAAATCTAGTTCGGGGGGTTGTCGTCGTACCACTAAAACAAGTAGATCGAACTTGTCAGCAAATCATTAGTTCCAGCGGCCTGACTTTTGGCAGGACTAAAAGGACTAAAAGAAAATTGGGTCTCGAACCAACAAGAGAAATGCGCACGCGGTGCACACAGCGTCCTGAGCCCCAAATACCCAGCCTGTCGGACCTGCCAGTGTTCCACACCAAGGCGCTAGGGCCATTGATGACATCGTATGGACGACGCTATATCTCATCAATCCCACTTCAGCCCAAATTGTCGTAGAGACTAACGGGGCACCTAACGCCGGTCGCCGTATCAGGACACATTGGGGTTGTACGTTGACGCTGTTTGGATTCTCACGAGGATGGTCGCTTCTCCTCACTCATGCCCGCTTAGAACCTTCACGGAGGAAGCGAGCTAGTTGCGATCCTTTCCGATCCCGTTGCCCAATTGAGAACCACTGGCATCCTGGTTGAGATTCGAACCTTTGGTCGACTTCTGCGCTGATCTACCGGATCCTCTTCCCCGGCGTATTCTTGTGCCCCGGTAGGTTTCGTTGGCTTGTTAGTGTTAGTGTGTCCCTCCGTCTCCCGCGGAGTTGGTTCCTTTTCGAACAATGACCCACGCGTCCCGCTGGTACTTTTGTGCTGGACAGGTCTCTTTTTCCCGTCTCGCCTGCCCTGAATCGCCTGTAATCTCCCTTTTCACACATAGGATAGTATGTCGTATCACCTGAAGTAATAATGTCGTGTCTGTACAAATTCCCCATGATCTTTGTTTGTGGTGACCCGCAGAGCAATTCATTGTCCGATGCTAGAGTCTTGTTGACATGCTGTTTCAAAGTGACTCGGTTGATTCGAGGACACAATGTGTGTCCACATGGCTGTAGCAAGTGAATTACTAGATGTGTCAGACCGTCTCTTGTGAATCTCACCCGAGCAAAGATCAGTATATGACAAACATTGCAGGCATACCGATTCACATTGGATCGGATCGGATCGAGTTCTCGTAAATTCGAATTGCGTTCAACTGTACACCGCTACAACGATCGAGCAAAGGTCGACTGTGCGACGTCACATACACAGCTCTCTGCCAAAAGTCTAGAACGGCGAAGTACAATGAAGTCAGACCACCTAACAATCCTACCACCTACTTGACTCCGAGCAACGAAGACTCGTTCGGCTCATTACCTGTGCCAATACTCAACCAATTGTTTGAGCGCGGCGGAGTCCGCCGAAGAGTGGCCCTGATATCTACTAAAGTACGCAAAGGCGAGACACAGCTTGTGCAGCCGAAGAAAGAAAGGACTTAGTAGGTTGGCACAAAACAGATATATTTCAGAAGTAGATTTGAGACTACGATGAATGCAAGTACAGAAATGTTCGAGATGTTCTCTTGCACCAGTTCCACTGGCCGAGGCCACGAAATACGAAAATTTCAGAAACCGGTGCCTTCACTCCTCGACAGCCCTGCAGCTAACTACCCCCCGTGCCGATTGACACAAAGAGCAGATAGCGAGACAGAACCGAATTTGTTCTCCCAACGCTCCGTTAAGAACAATCTTGTGAGTTTGCAAGATGTTCCTGCAGTACCCAGAGTGGACTGCATCGCTGGTGTAGTAAAAGTATGGTTTGCCGGCTATTGGCTTCCCAATGAAATCAAGGCACAACTAAGTAATAGAGCATAAATAAAGCCACATCATATGTAGCCATAGGAGGCTGATCTTCCTATTTGAAGCGAGACCTAAAATGGTCGTTTGTGCGATGCTGAGATAAGTATGTTGAATCGATGCCCAGATAGGGTAACGGTTTTGAAACTTGTTAGAAAGAAATCGCCTAAGGTATCATGAGAGATGTACGGCCATAATTGTACGGGAGAAAGCAGAAGCCTGCGAAGTGAAAGCAAGTAACCGCCATCTGGTATAGAGGATAAGAAATTCATCATTTTCAGGTCGTTACTCGCTTGAAGTCATCATCAATCAATGCGTCAAGTTCATGTTATACCGTAGTAGGCACGATGGCGAGATTTTACCACGTCCAAAAGCATGGGAATAGAAAAAGGCGTAGTTGAAGAATACACGTTAGTCGTTCAGATGGAAAAGTGCCGAAACACTTCAGCAAGCGTTAGGATTCCCCAGTACAGCCGTGAATTGAAGGATAAACTTACCTTTCACCATAATGATGGCGTCTAATGCTCTCTGAGATAAGAGTCGAGATATCGATGATGACCAACTTCTTCGATTTCTTAACCATCTGTTCCGAGATGGGGAAAGTGTTGGTCACTACAATGTAGTCAATTGCTTCGCACTCTTCCATTTGCTCAAGGGATTTATCTCCAAAGAGTCCGTGGGTTGCGATGCAGTAGACCTTCTTAGCACCACCCTTCTTCACCACAGTCTCTGCAGCAGCAATCCATGATCCACTTTTGTCAATCATGTCATCGACGAGGAACACAGTCCTATCACGAACGTCGCCCACGAAAGTAATGGTCTTCTCTCGCTCGACAGCTCGTCCTACACTACCTTCTTCATCAGATGATTCAGCAGCATCAAACGAGCCGCCAAGAGCATGGTCACCCGGTAAAGATGACGTGGTGGAGATGAAGGATTCCGCCATTGGGTCAGGAACAGAATCAGAATGATCTGCTACAGTCTGTCCGGGTGTAGTGTCTCCTGACGCGGGCGTAGAATCGACGGGGGGATAATCATCATCGACGAGGTGACCCTCTACGAGTCTCCCAGTGATTACGTCGTGTACTCGGACATCCGTACACCCGTGGGCAGCCTCTAGCTCTGATGGGCGTCGAGCACCCGTTAGAATGTCTGGAAGCAAGGCATTTGCCGATAACAATGATTCCATGTTATCAGATAACCTATGCACCTCTTCAGCTTGCGAATTATCACGGCTTCCAGTCTGTACGTGGAGTACAAACGGATCGTCCTCTTTTTGGACGGGCGTGCAGTCGTCATCTATGGAATCAAAGAAGACCGTACTGTCCGTCATAGCCATATTCATCTTGGGCCGCCGCCTATCGGTAGTGACGATGCCGAAGTTGAGCTTCAGGGTGTCCGCCAATGATGTAACACGCTTAGTGCCCCCAGCGTTCTTGCTGACAACGACTGCCTCTTTCCAGCCGGGAACATTCATGCGGATCCAACGAGCGATATAGGGCTCGGCAAACAGGTTGTCCACTGGTTTGCCGAAGAACCCCTGCATCTGGGATGCCTATATATTTCCTGATGAGAAATATGTCCAGGAAAAGACACCACACTGTCGCCAACTGCTTTGTGACTCACATGCAAGTCCAATGTTATCACATGGTCTACTCCAGCAACTGAGAGGAGGTTTGCCAGCATGCGGGCGGTGATGGCACCACGGTGGCTCTTCTTTTTAGATTGGCGAGAGTATGGGAAATACCTCGGCTAGGTCAGCATCAATTGTGCGATAGTCAAACTAGGCAGGCAGCATACGGTATGACCGCTAGGATAAGCCACAAGTTAGCCAGCTAAGATATTGAAGGAAAGACTAGATTTGGTGAAACATACCTGTGATGGACTTCGCAGAACCTCCTTTGCAGGCAGAGATCATGATCAAGAGTTCCATGACACTATCATTGATCTTCTCACTGCCACTCTGGACAATATAGACATCTTGGTTCCGTACTGAGACACCAATGTTTACACTTGTCTCCCCATTGGCGAATTTACCCAAGTCTGCCCGGGCGGGTTGAGTCCCTAACCGGTCGCAGACCACCTTCGCAAGTGTGGGATGCGATGTCCCAGAGAAAATCTGTACTCCCCGCATTTTGATGTAATTATGTGCTAGAATAAGACATGGAAAAGCGACTTGGGGGAAGGTTCAAGGTGGTGATAGAATGGGGAGCCCACGATGAGCAACGGGAAAGAAAGAAAAAAAAAATTTTGGAGAAAAATAGCTGGAGCTTTTCGTCACGGGATTTTGTTGCTCCACGTACCGAAAAGTCCCCGCCAACATCCCTCCGATAAACCCCGCTTTGCTGATAATCGAAGCCCAATTCCACCAATTCCAATATGTCGCGAAAATTTCCTGAAGTCCAAGGAGGAGGCTCGCTCATTGTTGCCTGGCAGGTGAAAGACAAACATGTCTTGGTTGTAGGAGGTGGAGAGGTAAGCTCCTTTCGCTAGCAATCAATGCTACTATATATATTTGGAATACATTTTGACTGGATATATGCTGAGCATAGGTAGCCGCCGGTCGTATCCTCCATGCCCTTAACGCTGATGCCAAAGTAACGGTTGTCTGTCCTGCCTCTGGTCTCAATGATGAAGTAGCATTTCGGGTATCTGAGGGTCAAGTGTCTCACATCGACCGGAACTTCGAGCCAACAGACCTTGAAGGAGCAGATATGGTTCTCTGTGCCATTGACGACCCAGACGCCTCGACCCGCGTATGGAAACTGTGTAAAGAGAAGAAAATACCCGCAAACATCGCCGATGTACCTCCCGAATGTGACTTCTACTTCGGTAGTGTGCATCGGGATGGCCCGTTACAGGTGATGGTCAGCACGAATGGAAATGGCCCCAAGCTTGCAAGTATGGTACGAAAGAAAATCGCCGACACTCTCCCCGACAATATGGGCGCCGCAATAGAAAATGTGGGCAAATTGCGGAGAAAGCTAAGGGAGGTAGCTCCCAACGTAGGTGAAGGTCCTAAAAGGATGAAATGGTAAGTGGTCCAATATACCCTACAAACCTCTACTGACATTTTACCCAGGATGTCTGGAGTCTGTGAATCTTGGGGCCTAGGTGAACTTGTACAGATGAATGACCAGGATATGGATAGGCTCCTAGCCCATTACGAGTCCGGCAAGATCCCCACATTCGATGAAGTCCGGTCTAACTGACCGCCCCTTTGCATACCCTCCAGCCGACGTTTCCAGGCAGTGAGATCGTCATTGGCTTCATGTCTCCAAGCCTGGGAATCATCCCTTGCCCAAGATTTATCTCAGTGGAAAGGAGCCCGTTGCTTTCATAGCAGAGCAAGCATATATGTACATGTACCGGAGCGTCGTGGTCAACCCCGATATCAAGCAGCTTCTCAGCGGATAATCGTTACAGACCTCTGCTTGTTGACAAGAAGTCAACATGTTTGCTACGTTCAAGGAATGATCACCTATAACCTACGAGAATCGGGTTTCGTACGGGCCATGATAACCGAACTTGGATTAAGAAGGGAAAGATGCAATATGTAGTCTCTGGGATGGGATTTTGTGCACCGATCTATGATGAAAATGAAAACTTAATCAGATAGGAAGCCTGCTTATGTGCTTCCAACCTCACTCTGCAGCTCCTTCAACTGCGACCACCCTTCACTATCCTCCCAGAACTCCTTGCCTTTGCCCAGAATACCCCTTACTGCACTACGAGCCTTAAACCTCCAATCTTTGGCAACGAGCTCAGCCTCACCCGCATCTTCCTGGCCTTCTTTGTCCATAGGTCCGTATTTAGAATACCCATTGCGGACCAACTTTTCTGTAGCACGTACGATTTCCATCCACTTCTTCTCATCACCCATCTGAAATGCTCCCTGTGTTGACGAGGCCACGGTGGCACGCCAAGCCTTTTCATGAGCTTCTAAGGCTTTCGTCGGCCGTCCACGCCATTGTTCAACACGGGCAACAAGAAGCCAAAGTGAGGCAGAGTGCGTGATTTGTGGCACAACCGAGTTGTCCAGCAGAGACAGAATCTGGCCAGCGATTGTACCACTGCGAATGACTTGCTGAGGAGGCTCACTGCCATTGTCAACGTTGATTACAAGCTCTTCATACTCGTAGGCAGTGGTAAGGTAGTCGACAAGCATGCCCAAGATCGCAAGATCGATGCATTTTTCGCCTTTCTTATCACCGAGAATCTCGATGAGTTTCCTCTGTGCGGTAATCACATCACGGAATGGGGTAAACGGAGGAGGGATTGAAGCTGCCACCGTAAGCACGTTGTCCCAGATACGAGAGTTTGTATTCTTGAGCTGAGCCGCACGACTGAGGGCTGCAAGGGCCTCGCGCTTGTGCTTGTGAGGATCTTCCGGTGCTTTCTCTGTTTCCGGTTCGCGCTCTTCGTCTGGCAGCTGCTCCACAGCAGTAGGCGTGGATTCATCTGGCTGAGGTGTTTGTAGAATAGCTGCAGCAAGGTTGCTCCATGATTCAGCATCGTTTTCTTCCAATTGGACAGCCCGAGTAAATGAGGCCTTCGCATCATCCCAACGTTGTAGTTCAAGCTGCACGCAGCCTAGAGAGAACCAAGCGCCGTGGTTAAGACGGTTAATTTGCAAGCTCTTGCGGAAAGCTTCCTCTGCCTTTTCCAAAGCAGGCGGCTTCATCGAGAGGTAATGCCGAGCCAGAGACCTCTGAGCACGAGCGTATCTGTTATTCGAGACCTCCCACGCGCGCTCGTACATGGTTGCGTCTGAGTCAAGATCTCCCAGAATACAGAAAAGCCTTGGGGCATCAGCAGGGAGAGGCGAGAGCTCGGGTCCCTCAAACTTGTCATTTTCGTCCTCAAGGTCTTTGTTCGTAGGTTCGTAGAGTTGTCTGCGAACCGTGGACTTAGCCTTCTCCTCTCTTTCTGTAGCGGCATAGCATAGCGCAGCCTCCGCCCACATCTGTAAACGCTCATAAATTTCCAGAGCAGTGCGCAATCCTCCGAGATTGACCCAACGAGATGCCAGCTCAGCCTCGAGATCCCACCTGGTGGAGAAACTCAGAAGCCATATGTATTCAAGTCTCTCTGCAGCTGACGCGGATTCGGATTTCTCGGGTCTTGGAAGGAATGTAGTAGGTTCCTCGACAGTAGAAGTGGCTTGACTATCGAGGGTAGCGGTGTCGGCAATGACTTGATCCACAAGGGCTTGCATTTGTAAAACAGATCTTTCCACAGTTCGAGCCCTATAGCCCTCAATTCTGCTCCGAGCTAGAAGACCCTGTGTGTAGATCTGCCAGTTTGAGCTACCACCCTCAAGAACTCGGGTGGCGTAGGGGTGTGTCTCCTCTCGAGTTAGACCATCCTCAGGTGTGGTGTTAGTTATCGCGGCTGCAAGAGCTAAGAGAATAGCGGAGTCCACAGGGCTGAGCTTTGGCTGATTCCCAGGATCAAGAGATGCCAGCATTGGCGGGAGCGTCGACTCCTCTTGTACGGTAACTTGATTATTCTGGATCTCTTGTTTCTCATCTTTCGTAAAAGATATAGATTCCAGAAGGGTATCATCGTTGAGGTCTAAGTTCTTCGGCCCCGAGGGCTCCGAATCACCTGAGCTGTTGATGTTCGTATCCGCTGCATCGTCGGCACTCTTCGCAATGATGACGAGTTGACTGATATCGCGCTCTTGGAACTTGGTTCTTTTGCCCAATTTTCCGGTTAAAGCAAATTTGAAGTTCCGTTCTGATGCAGCCTTGTCGATATCGGCTCTAGCTTTGGAATCAAGACCGTGGTGAGTGTGGATAAGTGCTCTCTCGAGTAGGAATTTCCCTTTCTCTGAGCCAGCAGTATTTCCATTCAACAAAATGCTGCTAATTTGCTCCATATCGGAATAGATCGCATCCTGAAGCGTGCCAGTGATTTCTGATAGCATCTTCTGGTGAAGAAAATTGACACGCATTCTTGCCGTCCTCGCAACCAACGGGCCATTCGTAAGTAGAACATCAGTATCGGCTAGGATAGCCTTCGCAACAGCGAAAAGCTCCACATTAGGAGTCAATCTATAAGCCGCTTCGCCATCCACTGAGAGGTCGCGAATTATATGCGCTCGGACGGCTCTCAGACATGTCGGATCAGTTCGCAGAGTGGACGGAATAATTAGCTCTGCAGGGTTGAAGCTTAGTGGGGGTCCAGTGACATTGGACTGAAGAAAACTGAAGAGGGCTGCTAGACCAATGTGAAGCAGCTGCGAGCTCCGCTGTTCAGGGGTCAAGCCATCTAGTGGCGTATGAGATATGGACTTCGTCTTGTTGGCCAAAAAGGTTGTATACGAGATTTCTCCGCTAGATACACGAGCGAGAGTACTCTCATCTGCCGAATCGTGGCCAAAGACAGTCTTTGCGAGAGGTAGCTGTAAGATTGGAACTATCTCAGCATCTGCTAACTGGATAGGCTCATATAATTGCTTCAACGAGGACGCTTCATCATATAGCGTGTCTAATGACGCGGGGTAAGCAATCGAAGCCTCAGCCATTTTAAGAGCCCTAGTCGCTAAGAAAAGGGATGTCAAGTTCAAACTGGCAAAGAAGACACTGTCTCTTCTAGACCAACTAGGAAAACTCTCAAAATTGGCGGTTTGATATGGGAACCCGCGATGCCGCTCAATTAATAAAAACCCCGCCAAAAAAAAAGGCATATTTATCGATAAGGCAAAAATTTGTGAAGGCGGTGGTGGGGCTCAGGGACGTGGCACTAAGAGCTCCACGGATGGCGCACGCGAGCAAACATCCAGTGTGTAATATGGACACGCACTTCTACACCTGTACTATGATTGTTATAACGAAACACCTCCCCACCGTGACTCCTTGAAATCTGTATGTTGGGTAAATAGCATTATTTAAGAATAAAGTCCTGGGAGTAATCGTTTCCTTCAATCAACAAAGAATCCAATCTGAGGCTAACTATTGATTCAACCGATAAACCAGGACCAGCGCATACGGCGAAAGGTCATGGGAGTTACAGAGAAGATGACTAGAATAGAAGTAGAAAGGATCTGGAATATGATAGATACATGGGACATAGTTGAGACAAGTGGTGTCATAGGACAGTATGGTATTGTAGTAAAGATGATTAGCTCAACAGACTTGCACATGATATATTGTGTGAGAAATCTAAAGTAATCAATGTATGGGTTCCTAGAGTCGAAGCAGAAGAGCCTATACAAGATGTCCGCTTCCCCGTGACCTACAGAGCCTTGGAAACGACATGCAATCAATGATACGAATCCTATTCCTGTCTTTACCGATGTTCAGGACTTCAAGTATAACACGGTGTAGACACAGAAGCTTGCTAGCAAACGGATTAGGTTAAGACGAAGGCGTCTCATAATCGAAGGACCGCCTTCGTTTAGATATTTGGAAACCTGACTACGTCAACTGAAAGGGATTACGATAGTTATCAGACCGAAATGGAATATACGCCGTATTGGATAGTGGCTCTCATACGCAGCGCGAGCATAGTTGACTACCATTTGCGCTTACAAAGAATTCTACAAGCAAAAACAAGGGCCAAGCAAGGCAGAGCGAGAAAAGGATTTGAAATCCGTTAATGGAAAGTAAATTCATCCGATCATAACTTCTATCGAGGACATTACAATAGCCATTCGAATATTAACCATGAGTGAAAAGTAATCCTTTAGAACAACTCGCTTTCTTTTCAATTATTCGTTTAGAAATCATCCTCATCAGAGAAGACCTCCTCACCACGCTTCCTGTAGCAAGAGATTAGCATGCATTTCGTGAGAACATGGGCCTACAACTTGTGAAAACTTACCTCCTAGCCATACGCTCCTTCTTCTTCTTGCGCTGTTCGGAGCTAGTCAATTTCTTGGCCTTCTTAGGGGCTTCGATCTATTGAAGAAGTTAGAATATTATACTCAAGAGTAGCGGAAGCCACCAAATGGTTTGGTGAAAGAGGGAAAGAAGGGGGAAAAATGGGAGTTTCAACGTACCTTGTTGCCCATAGCATCGAAGGTGTCCTCCTCGTTGACCTTCTCAGTAAGACGGGGACCAGAGCCCTGGCCCTGAACCCAGTTGTGGCCGGAAGGAGTCATCTTTCCGTCGACAACAGCCCAGACTTCCTCAGTAAGGTTCTCAGTGAACTCACGAGAGTGAGTGATGATAACGACACCACCCTCGAAGGTCTTGATGGCCTTGGAAAGGGCACCCAGGGAGTCACGGTCAAGGTAGTTGGTAGGCTCGTCCAGGACGATGACGTGAGGACGCTGCCAAGAGCAGGCGGCAAGGACAACCTTGACACGCTGACCACCGGAGAGACCGCGCATACGAGAGTGGGAAACGAGTTCAGCATCGAGACCGAACTGGGCGCAGTGCTCTTCGATCTCCTTGCGAACCAGAGGACGGAACTGACCGCTGGCAAGGGCCTCCTTCTGATCAACCTCGGCAACCATCTTGGCGTGGGACTGGATGATCTCGTTACGAGGAATCCAGGCGTTGTCGCTGGTCATCATGGGGGTCCACTTCTCGCTCTTCATGCCGATGTTGTCACCGAGCAGGAAGGAACACTCGTACTCGTAAGTGTTCTTGAACTTACGACGGGAGTGGATACCAATGACCCTACGGGGGGTACCGTCGATCTTGTAGATCTTGTCCATGGCCTTCTCGTCCTCATCGGTGACGATCTTGTTGGCACGGTCCATGGTCTCACGGTCCTCACCGGTCTGGAAACGCCACTGGATGTACTCGGAGGGAGTGCTGTCGAGGTGGTTATCAATGTGGGCGAAAGCGTGCTGCTTAATGTAGGCGATACGGATGTTCTCGTGCTGGTAGACCTCACCAGCGGTGGGGATCAACTCACCAGTCAAAACGTTGACCAGTGTAGACTTACCGGCACCGTTAGGACCGATGACAGCAATACGAGATCCCAAAGACACCTGGAAGGAAATATCGGTAATCTGGGGACGAGGAGTACCGGGGTACTGGAAGGACATATCGGAGACACGAATGATGGCCTTGGCCTTGGTCTTGACACCCTCAAGGAAACCGGGCTCGGGGAACTTGAACTCCATATCGGAGGCACCCAGCTCATAGTAAGAGCGAGCGGAAGGAACCTTCTTAACGAACTCGCTCAGGGTACCACGGTAACGCTTAAGCTTGAAGTTACGCTCGTAGTGGATGACGTGCTGGATAACGTTGTCCAAGAACTTGCTGTCGTGGGAAACAATGATGGAAGTGCAAGGGGAGGTGCAAAGGTAGTTCTCCAACCAGGCAACGTTCTTGACGTCCAAGTGGTTGGTAGGCTCATCCAGAAGAAGGATATCAGGCTTCTCGAAAACGGCACGGGCAAGGGCCAGCTTCATCTTCCAACCACCAGAAAGGGCGGTAATGGGGCCGTTGAGCTGCTCACGGAGGAAACCGAACTCTTCGAGCTTGGCTTCGACCTCTTCCTGCTTGGGGTCAAGGCCAACCTCGCGGAGCTTCTTCATGGTCCAGCCAATGACGGTTTGCTCAGTATCGGCAGAATCCAAGTCGTGCTCGACGTAGACGGTCTTGACCTCATCCTTCTTGGGGAAACCCTCAAGCTGCTCGTTGTTGATAGCACGCATAAGGGTGGTCTTACCGGTACCGTTGGGACCGAGAAGACCGTAACGCTGACCACGCTTCAAGCGAAGGTGGGTCTGGTTCAGCAGGATCTTGGCACCATAGGCAAGGGAGAAGGTGCAGTTGCACAGATCCTCACCCTCCTCCTCATCGGAGAGGACTGCATCCTCAGCAGCGGCATCAGGAGAAGCACGTTTGCGGAGGGTCTCGGCAACAGCCTTAGCTTCCTCCTCACCGACAATGGCGGTGATGTAGGGGAGAGCGTTCTGAGTCCAGCTCTCAACCTCGCCAACCTTCTCGTCAACAAGCTGACCAGCGATGGCACCGACGTAGTTGATGACGGCCTCGGACTGCTTGACCTGCTCGGCAAACTTGGGGGAAAGGATGTCCTTGAGGATACCAGCAACGGTGGAGATGTCACCAGCGGTGGAGATCTCAGGGATCTTGCCATCCTTGACATCACCGACACGGCTGAGGGTTGCCAAAGCCTGCTCGGTCTTGCCACGAGCCTCAGGGTCGGGAAGGGTGTCAAGGTTGTGAGTAAGACGAGGCATCAACTTAGGCAAGAAAGGAGCGACGATCTGAGGGTCCTCGACGAGCTTACACATGTTGTCGACGATGACAGCAGACTTACGCTTGATGGCAGTCTCACGCTCGACAAGACCACGGTCAAGTAGGGGGACCATGATAGCGAGGGTAGGTCCAGTGACATCGGAAACGAAAGTGGTGGCACCGAGCAAGTGAACGGTCTCGGGGACGTTCTCAGGCTTGGAGATACACTTGATAAGCTCGGGAATGAAGCGCTCGATATCCTTGTTGACGATAAGACCGCAGACCTTCTCCATGGTGGAGTAAGCGGCCTTCTTGATGTCGGCCTTGGTATCCCACATGGCCTCGGAGACAGCAGGGATCAGGGCGGGAACCTGGCAAGAGACCTGAGCGGGAGCGGTCTCAATGAGAGAGTTGAGGCACTCAAGAGCGCACAGCTTCTCAGTCCACTTCTGGGCAGTCTCGAGAGACTCGAGGATAGGAGGAATGACAGCCTTGACGGCGTTGCCGTTGATACCCTTGACAATGGCAATGGCGGCACTCTGAGCGGCGTCCTTGACGTTGGTCATCTTGTCACCAACGGCAGTGAGGACAGGGCGGAGAAGAGTGACGAGGTGAGGCTCAACACCGGGGGCGATGGTGGCGTGGGAAGCAACGGCCCGGATAGCGTCACAAGCGCGCTGGCGGGCATTGGCATCCTTCTTGTTAGAGAGCTGCTTCTTGAGATCTTCGGCGAGCCTAGGTTGCGTTAGTCAACTGATTCGAGAAGATTTTTCTCTCGAAGCGGGGTATCCAACATACTTCAGGGGGAGGGCTTGTTCAGGGATAGGGCCGCTAAGGAGGTGAGCGATGTTGTCGGTAGCGGCGTTGACCTCATCCTGCGAGGAGGAAATGTTGAGGTTCTTGAGCAAGTCCTCGAGGACAGAGAGAGACTGAGCGGTCTCCTTGCTGGAAACAGCAGGAACCGAAGAGGCAGCAGCAGCAGGCATTTTGGGCGTAAGAAAGTCGGAAATCGTAAATTCGAAAAAGAGGAAGAATGTAAAAGAGAAAAAAAGCAAGAACGGTCAAAAAATCGTTCTATTAGGGTATCTCGATAAGAGGTGACGGCCCACGAAAAACTGTGTCTTGACGAAGCAGACACAGAACACGCTCTAAACGGCCGAAGGGAAATCTAACTTTTTGATTTGTCTAAAAGACAAAAGGGAAAAAAAACACAAGTTTTCACAAAAGAGAGGACCAGACCTCTTTGAAGGAGATAGGAGGGGATATGGTAAGAGGAGAGAGGAGGAGGGGAAAAAAAGTGGATGGGGATGGATGATATTTATCGGTTTGTGGACTACTTTTTCGCCGCCCAACCCTCCAAGAGAGGCAACCATTGCAAAAAATTTTTTCTTTTCTCCCACCATCCCGCGCTAGACCCGGAACCGGGTTAGTGCCGATGGCTGTCGAAGCAACCAAGCCGATAGGGCCCGTGGCTGCGTTGGGATCAATCAGTGGCTGATGATTGGTCCACTGGTGGGATAGGCAAAGCCGTCGTCTCGCCCGATCAGAGAGTTTTCTGGTTTTTTGGTCTCGCCAATCTAGGCGGACAATCCGAGGATGCGACAAAAGAACCTTGGGAATTAATTTTGACGGTTATGAATAAATTTCAGCAATCGGGGTTTTGCCTTAAAGGAAAGGCATTGATAGGCGTCGCGGATTCAATAAAGTAATTTCGGCCTGAGGCGACTAAAAATACTACTCTGTTACTAGTATGAGGATGCCGTTGTTTCCGCCAGTTGGCCCCATTGCAACTACAAACTACTACATCTATTAAGGGCAAACGGGCAACAAGGCTGTCAGCCCCTTGACAAGGGATTCTGTACTCCGTAGTGAATCCTTGAATCACTTTTTCCTGATCAATATCTACTAGGATTCTCGGGCGGTTACAGAATTATGGCGACAGGCTGATGGTATCCCTCCGCCCTCCAACTAAACTTACTGGCGGTAGGATAGCGCGCATCCCTTGAATATCCTTAGCGGGCTAGGCTAATGTATTTCAGTCCCTGACAGGGCATGAATCCGGGGATGCAACATTGGCTAATCCACCATGATTAGTGTCCGTTCCCGTGTGAATGAATGGGTTGGGCCTGCAGGTGCTGGTGCTATTTCTGTTGCCACCCTCAGATCGCTCCCCCAGACTTTAGGTGGCGCAGCCGAGTTTCTAGACATTCGAAGCCTTCTTTGGATAAAAAAAAAGATAAAAATAAAAAAAAAAGGAGAACTAAATACGAGGAAACACAAGGCGTTTAGAGTTGACCAGAGCCATGGACTATTGAGAGCCTTCGCCGTACTCTTCCGTCATCTCAAACCTGCCGCGGGTTATGGATGGCTGAGCTGATATTGAATTGTCCCAACTCAGCGTTTGCTACGTTGACATACATAGTTGTACATCACAGTGATTCGTGTCGTCCAGGCCGCCGTAAGCGACTAGATAATATATTGAACAACTGTCTGGTTCATGTTCCATAAGTACAAGCAGCAATATCTTCTGGTAGTCTATCCTTTTTCTTTTGCGCCGAATTGGGACCTACAGTAGTTGATCGATTGAAAGGGGGATGTTAGGAGTACTTCAAAGATGGACTGTTCTACGACACGGAGCCCAGATGATACTTCTTTGACCAAAAGAGAAACAAAGCATCCAGGGATATATTCGGGGGTCGACAAGTCGACCGCTTACTCGTCGCAACCCAACGGCTGAAACGATGGCTTACATGTCGCAGCCAAGTAAGACGACGTATCACCGCCAATTCGGATGAGAGTTAAATCACACCGCTGAATGCGTGCTTTTCATCCTGGCAGGCTATATCCTGCGTTAATGCCTGTGATATGTACACAGGGGACGAGCGTATGCAAGACTATGCAGCGCTGATGATCTGTCGAACTCCAGACGGAGAAATGATAGTCAAAAAAACCCTTATCGTCAGTATTCCTTATCGACCATTGAATTTTGACTTTTTTTTCGTCCCATCCTTCACGCTTAAGTTCAAATCTCCGGATTTTCCCACTCCTTATCCTTATCCCCCGCGAAAACCTCGGAGATGAGTGGCAATAAGAAAACAAAAGGGGAACGTGAAAAAAAATTTCCTCCTGTTGAAGTAAAATTTTCACGAGCTAATAAAACCACCCAGCGAATCATTCTTTGACCCATAGATTCATTGTCTAAAAGTTTTACATTCCTACTATGGAGTAATATTTTTTCTTTTCTTTTAGCCAAGGTTTGAACGAATCACCCTTACTTGTGATTCATACTAGACAACGTAATCAAAATTATCCCGTCATCATCTGTTGTATGGTTGAAGTGCTATCCTTTCCATAGTCGTTCTAGACAGTTCCTCAGGAAGAAGAATAATAATGAAAATCTTTTTCTTTTACCCCTATAATCCATGTTATTTTAATGATCCAGCACTGTACTTACTCTCTTACTCATCTAATTCTCACCACCAAATGACTATTCAATGATTAGTAGCACAGTCATCATTACTCGTAGTATTGCCTACTATTGCCACTTGACACCAACCCACCAATCAATGTTGTTCAAATGGAATTTTCCCACTTCAATAATAATAAAAAAAAAGAAACCAAAGCTCGCCAGTCCTGTCCGCCTAGTGTATGTGCATGTCTACCTAGTGTGGACCAATATTGCCTTTTTAGTAGCTACTGGCAGCACATGAATTCGCCACTTCTGTCATCGCAAGCTTAAGTGGTTCAACCTCTTATCGTTTTTTGCCTTATCCGACAGCTTCCTAACTTCTCAAGAGCCTTCTACTAGCACATTCACAGTGTAGGGAGGCTATCGGGTCATACCATCCGGCGGCACCACTCGGTATTTCATCGGCTCAAGCCCGCAAAACCTAAACGAAAAAAAAAAAAAAAAAAAAAAAAAAAAAATTCAACGGCGTCATATATCCCGTGATTATTCTTTAAAGTTGTCGGATTCGACCCGCAGAAATGAAAGTATCCGACGCAGAGCAGATTCGCGTGTGGCGATATGGTATCTCAAAGACCAATGGGGCTACCATACTTGATGTCATTGTCCGTGTTGTCTTTTCCTGATTCTCAGAGGTTCCACTCTACGTTAAGCTCCTAGTCTTGTTCAAGTGGAGTTTTTTATACACAGTAGGTTGGGTAATGCAAGCACCATGGAGGCATGTGGCCATTATGATTGGCAACCAAGGAATGCAGCTATACGCTGTCTCATAGTCTCAAACTGCAATATTGGTTCACCTAAGGATAGGGACATACAGAAAACGAAAAGCTTCAGCAACAACAGACCAACACTAATACCAGCTTCTGTTACAGATAAGATATCCTGTTCCTGCTCTTGTGGCCATGATAATGCAAAAAAGAAGTATCACTGGTGTTACCACATCGTTTGCCCCTTATGAGCCACCTAATCACTGGAAGAGGAGCTTGAGCTCGAGCTCGACGAGCTGGAACTGGACTTGCGCTTGTGGTGTTTCTTATCCTTTTTGTGCTTTTTATCTTTCTTGTGCTTCTTGTGACTGTTTCACAGAGTTAGCATGCAGAATCTAATAGATATTCAGCAGATAACGATCATGTATGACAGACGTACGCTTTGTTGACTAGATTCGCGCCTGCAGCTCCAACCAATGCACCTCCTGCCGTACCTAGTAGTCCACCCCCAAGCTTATGGCCAACGAAACCACCCCCGGCAGCGCCAAGAATCGACGAACCAAGCCCTCTCTCCCCTTCCTGTCCCGCCGGGCCAGGGGCGTGTCCTGCGTGAGATGCGTAACCCGACTGCGAGCTATCGCCGTAATATGAAGCACTCTCACCCTGGCGAGATTGCTGCTGGGGGTAGGGAGAGTGGCCACCGGCTTGCGGTGGGTTCATATACGAGCCTTGTCCGTGGCCATAGTCGCCAGGATAACCTCCTTGCTGGGGGCCGGCACCGTAGGGTGGGGGGTAATTCTGCTGCTGGCCGTACGAGGGATATTGGGTGTGAGGTTGCTGATCGTACGCAGGCTGAGATCAGTTGTAACATGAAAGTGTTAGTAGATAGTGAGAAGCCAAGAAATAGTTCCACTCTCATGCAGCGATAGCCGCGGTGGATGCATGGTCCCAAGTAGTACGTGTAGGGAGGGAAGACAGCACTCAAGTTTGACATACTGTAGATTGATAGTAGCCTTGCTGCGGAGGCTGCCCATATTGGTTTTGTGCAGGGTAGTTACCTGGCTGGCCTCCATATGTACCATACTGGTTATTGCCATGTGGCGGTGCCCCGTACTGATTGTATTGGTGGCCACCGTACTGGTCAGACATGATGAGTACCTGGGTAAGCTTATAATGTTATGAGGCGTGCAACAGTATGTGGATCGAAGCCAAGAATGCAAGCCAAGAGAGGAAGTCGAGAGCCTTAGGTCAGACAATTATTGAGGCTACTTTTTCTACTTGGGAATGACAGCTGACAAGTGAAGGAAGGAACAATGTGGCTTCGCGGGGTAAAAGGGGCTGTGTTAATCAAAGAACGACCCATACATAGTACAGAAACGGGAGTTTTTAAGTCGATCGATATCATGTTAGAGAAGTTTCTGTATTTAGTAAATACTAGCAAGTGCATCATAATGAGCATTCCCAATCGCTCTCAAGGTTGACTATCGATCGTATAATATCTCTTTCCCTTTGCCACAAAGACCCTTGTACTCCCGTATGTACGGAGAACTCTGATATTCGCTTTGCTCCGATATGAGAAACTGGGAACCGTAACCGCACCTGATGAAGTCCCAAAAACCAGCTCCCCCAGTATCCATGTCTACAATGATCGAGAAAACATAGAGCGACGGCTTTATTGATTGTTAATCGGAGGAACACAGGCCTGTAGTAATAGGCAAGGTTTCAGAGCTGATCCGATATGCATCTAAGCTAAATCCGGAACCTCCGATTTTCGCTACTTATCCAAGTGTACCTGGTCAATCAGAATTGCTAGCAATGCTACAATACTATATCTATTGTCTAATTCCCATCAATATCAACTTGGTTCATTGTATATAATCCAGGCTGATAAAACTTACAACTAGAGTCTGGCCTCTCAAGAAAATTTACCTCTTTGACGACATTGCCAAGCTACCATTTATCGTTCTCCATGTTTACCTATACTCAATCGTTGTTTACAAGACGCGCCTTGCTCTTCGGGAAGTCATCCCTCACACAGTTATCGAATTATAGAGCACTATCCTTCTCATCAAGAGTCATGTCTACAAATGACTGGAGCGCCACTCAATATCTGAAGTTTGAAGATGAGCGGACTATGCCGGCTCGCGACCTCCTTGCTCGGGTTCCTCTCCAAGCCCCAAGAAGAATAGTTGATCTGGGCTGTGGACCGGGCAATTCAACCGCCGTTTTGGCGACTCGTTACCCTGATGCTCATATCGTGGGAATGGATTCATCGCCCGACATGATCCAGAAAGCGAAGGCGTCTCTCCCAGCCTATGAGTTCAGCGTCGAAGATCTGCGGTCCTATTCTCCGCCTCCGTCAGTCGATCTTTTCTTCTCCAATGCTGTTTTCCAATGGCTAAAGAAAGACGAGCGGATTGCAGTCATTAAGGGCCTAATGGAGACTCAACCCTCTGGAGGAGTGTTTGCCTTTCAAGTGCCAGACAATCTAATGGAGCCCTCCCATGTCCTGATGAGGGAGGTTGCCATTAATGGCCCCTGGGCGTCCACTCTCAGCAATGTTGGCAGAGATACCTTTCAGTCACCACAGGAAATATATGATCAACTGAAGGATTTGTCTTCCGAGGTGAACATTTTTAGAACTGAGTACTACCACTCGCTTGAGGATCATAAAGCCATCGTGGAGTGGGTAAAGGGCACCGGGTTAAGACCCTATGTTGATCCATTGTCGCTGCAAGATAAGGAAGAGTTTTTGAGCGAGTATCTGAAACGATTGGAGAGTGCGTATCCCAAGTTGATCGATGGTCGGGTTCTGCTACCCTATCCACGCTTGTTTGTCGTTGCGGTCAGGAAATAAAGCAGGGTTTTTATAACAGACGACCGAGTCAATAATGCTTACCAGATATGCCCTAAGTTAAAGACGGAAGTATTGCTCAGCAATGTCTATAGTATACGAGCTATGTACAAAACATCAGTACGCATGCTAAATACAAGTATATTGTCAGAGTTCCTTCCTATTAGAGGGGTCAATATCATCTAGACTACTCACTCGCCTGAAGAAGACAGCTATCTACCCATCTCGAGACTCAGCTCGGATAGCCCTCCCTATGCATGAAGCTAAAGGAAGAAGGTGAGCATGCGCGGACTGTCTTATCATTATATCGCTCGTCGGAATAAAGGTGGCTTGTATGGAGGACTGCCGTAGGACAATATTTAAATCTTTCGCCTGGCCCAAGCAGCTTGGCAATGGAGGCGTTGGGGAAAACCAGGCTTCATCCAATTTATTGGACCACGGGGAGGAGAGGATACAACCAATGAATATGCCCAAGTCCCGTTGTGGATAGGAGAGAGTGAGATGGAAGCCTAGAATTATCTGTAGCAATAGCGGCTTATAGTCTCAACGTGCAGCGGTATCTGGACGAGGCAGGCTTTGCCAGTTAATGTATGCGCTGATGGTCATAATGCGACTGCAAATGAATCACTGGAGCATGGACTTGGGACATAATGATTACTGACTTCGTATAAGTTGGTGATATTCTCTCACTTTCCTGCTTCTGAAATGGCTGATGCTCGGTCACGAAAGAAACAGGGCAGGAAGCTTTTCAGGCGCAATGGATTACTTCGTTTCTAGTGGGAAAGTAATGCTGTACGTTGAGGTGTCCATATAAGGCGGCTTAAAATGATCATAGAAGAGGATATTTTGTGATAATTGGTATGGTCCTGACCACACAAGAAATTATGGTATCTGGTAGAAATACACTCGATTCACAATCGAAAATGCCCAGTCGTTCTTTCTCAGGTTGCTCCTTCGTGTTTGTAGCTTTGACTGTTATCGATCAGGCAATGGGATATGTTTTATTACAGATTTTCTAGGGTGTTGATTGACCCTGCACGTTCATGTTGCTAGATATCGTATTTACACCAGAGGCGTTGTCATACCTTCATTAGATGAAGAGTCGTAGGTCCTGGAATTTAGAAGACCTTAAGTCTATATCTAACGGTCACGTTTTCTGGGTGATTTGTCGGACTGCATGCGCGAAGGTCTTCCGTGTAGCTTCCTGTATGATCTTTTGTCTTTGATGTCAAAATCGAGGAGGTCATGTGGGCGGTTGCTTCTTTGCTCGTTGATTATATGTTTGGGTTCTAACCCCATTTCAAAGGGCGTCTCCCGGAATGGCTTGCGGCCTCTATCCCGTATTCCACCAGGAAGCAAACCAGTTGGCGTCGTAGTTACCTTCCCTTGTTCATCAACGTCCTCAAATATTTCAGGTGCGCCGGGAATGCCGAGCCTAAGCGTTGGCTTGGCCGGGTCCCATGTAAAGGTGTGCTTTTTAGCAGTCTCGTCCCACTCCATGTGTGGGATCAGGCACAGTGTGCGCCTCCAGATTCTTTGCATAAATCGTCTCGTGATGACATGAGGGCGTCCTTTGGAGTAAGGCTTGAATGTTGGGCCTTTTACAGGACCATCTTTTAATAGTGCTCTTAGATAACTGCGGGTTAATCGCCTAATCTTCTTTTGTCTTTCGGAAAGGTTCACTGGTTTCCTCCATTCGGGCGGGTTCCATGGCATTTCTCCTGAAACCAATCCTTGCAACATGCCCAGGTCGGGGTCAGGTAGTGGCGGAAGGAGGTGATCGAGGACATCAGTATACCAATCTTTCCGTATGTTTCTCCTTCGTGACTTGGCCACTCCATCTCCCCAGATGCACTTCTTAGGTATGGGCGGCTCAAGGTGTTTCACTTGGCGAATGTTTAGTTGCGAGAGAATCCCGTTGTTCTGCTGGGACTTCAGAAGCTCCATCACAATTGATGGAGGTTCCCAGCCATCTTCATATTTTTCGGGTCGTTGAAGGGCCTCTTCCACAGCCGTTTTATTCGCAGGAACATCGGGGGCAATCAAAGCGCTCAGTAATTCCTTCCTTCGTCTCCCTTTTCGTCCGTATGCCATTCGGATGACTTTTTCGAGTGGCTTGGAATATCCTGCATTCGCCCGCTTCAGTAATGACAGGGTATCCTTTACTTCATTAAACAGAATGATCTGCCGCTCGGCATTCCATCTAATCCATGGACGTCTTTCTTCTATCACGTAACGTCGAAATCTTTGAACAACAAAGTCATGCAGATTACATTTCGCAACGGGGTCTGGTAGGTAGGAACATTGGCGAAGTAGGGCACGAAAATAATGACGCCATGAATGTTGTTTCCATGGATTGACGAGCGCTAGTTTCGCAGCTGCGACGGCCTCCTTCCTCCCCATGTTGTAGGCCAACGATGTACATGAGCTCGGAAGAACTTTGACTGTCCGAGGCGGAGCTTGGGAAATAACATGACTCGACCGTTGTTAACGCGAAAACCGAAAACGCTAAACCCAAAACGCGACTAAGTAGCCACCCCGCGACTTTCTCTTCGTTGTCGAGGCTTGCATGACTAGTTCAAGACGCAAAAGTGAAGAAGACTGGTCTCTGATCCTTTAATACAATTCTCTAACCTTCTTGGTGGGTGATACTGTCTTCTTGAACGGGAGACGTTCGGGTCCAGCTGTACTATCCCTTTCGCGACCGGTGCGCTAAACCACGCGCCTCTTCGCCTCTTCGCGCGAATCCGGTCGATCCTTAGGATAGGTGCATTTCCCCACATGCCTTGACTCCCTCGCTCTGCTTTTTTATTTTTATATTTTTTATTTTTATTTGTTTCTGCCCGGCAAAAAGTTGTTAAGCTATTTCATTCGACGAAGCTGAGACTCTTAAGGATCTAACCGTCAGATATATGTGTAGGGTGTCTGGGTTGGGGACCCCAATACCGAAGTTAAACAAGCGCAATGGCTTCCAACAGTCACCACCCACCGCGTCCAAGCCTACCCATGTCATATTCTCAAAGTAGCATTGGGTCTGCCAATGGGATGTCATTTTCGCAATCGCAACTTGGCTCTTTCAATGCTTCCCAGTCCGTGGCAACAACTCCTCGAGGCACACCCCCTCCGAAAGGATCGCAACAGTCGGCAATGTCTTTTACCTACTCGAATGGCCTACCACATGGTGCGCGAGGTAGTTTCAACGGCTTTGAAGACATGAATGGTTATGGGGCAATGGTGACATATCAAGAGGAGATCAAGCCTCAAATCTACAGAGTATGTTCTATCCTATCTTTGTGTGACCGCGCGGTCTTTACTTTTTGAGACCCATTCCATGTTGACGCCCCTTGTTCATATATAGGCAGTTTATTCCAATGTTTCTGTCTACGAAATGGAAGTCAATGGAGTCGCTGTTATGAAGCGTCGTTCGGACTCTTGGTTAAATGCCACCCAGATCCTCAAAGTTGCCGGCGTTGTCAAGGCGAGAAGAACGAAGACGCTCGAAAAGGAAATAGCGGCTGGTGAGCATGAGAAGGTTCAGGGAGGCTATGGTAAATACCAGGGTACATGGGTGAACTATCAGAGGGGCGTGGAACTTTGTCGCGAATACCACGTCGAGGAAATGCTGAGGCCTCTTCTTGAATACGACATGGGTCCCAACGGCACCACTGGTTCCGCGCAGGACTCTTTAGATACTCCCACGAAGGAACAGGCGATGGCTGCGCAGAGAAAACGGCTCTACAGCGGCATGGACAATCGTAATATGTCTCAACCACAACAGGGTACTTTCTTCCAGAACATTTCTCGCACCGCCGCTACAGCGGTCAACGCTATGAGTAAAGCTCGCTTTGATTCTCCTGCAGCAAGAGGTGTCGATGGCAGGCGATCAAGTGTCATACGGAAACCTTCGAATCAGACGGGTAGTCAAGAATCGCAGCTCCCTTTCGCCAGTCAACAGAGCATGTACAGCATGGCATCTGACAACGGATTCGGAAATAACATCCACCACAATGGTCGACACTCCCATGATACCTCAGCATTTGATCACGATGAGCTTGTTGAACCTCCTCGCAAGCGCGTCCGGTCTTCTTCCAACCATGCACATTCGTTCGGACTCCATTATGAACCTTCGACGTTGTCGATGACTGAAGCAACCCCAACCGAACCCAATGATTCCTTTTATCAAGATATGGATATGTCAACTTCTATGGCTGATGGTAACAAGCGCGGCGTTGAACCTCTTCCTCCAGCGACAACTCCAGAAAGATTCCAAAAGATGAAGCTCATTATGACCTTGTTCCTCGATAAGCGGACCAAAGATTTTTCCAATCATCCTGCCTTGATGCAGCTAACTGGATACGACTTGGAGACTCCGCTCGATGAGTATCGGAACAATGCTCTGCACTGGGCTGCAATGCTTGCTCGTATGCCCCTTGTTCATGCTCTTGTCGAGAAAGGCGTTAGTATATTCCGACTTAATGGTGCAGGTGAAACTGCATTACAGAAATCTGTAGGAACAAGGAACAATTATGACTATAGAAGCTTCCCACGCTTGCTGCAGGTTCTTGCTCCAACGATCGACATGGTTGATTACAGTGGGCGAACTATTCTTCACCATATCGCCGTAATGGCTGCAACAGGCGGCGGCGGCCATGTGTCAGCGAAGCATTACTTGGAGGGTTTACTGGAATTTATAGTCCGACATGGAGGCAGCTCGCTGGGCCAACAAACCCCGAGTGGGCTCGAAAATGGAACAAACATTGAACAGCCCGGTGAGGTCATTACGCTTGGCCGATTTATTTCAGAAATCGTGAATCTCCGTGATGATCAAGGTGACACAGCGTTGAATCTAGCGGGGCGCGCACGTTCTGTGCTTGTGCCGCAGTTATTGGAAGTGGGCGCAGACCCTCACATACCAAATCATACTGGTCTTCGGCCTGCGGACTATGGCGTGGGTGTAGATATGGTTGATGGGAATTCGCAATCTCAGCAATCTGGAACCAAGAATGATTCCTTTATGGACCAACTAGCCAAAACTAAGAAGGAAATTCTCGATGGTAAGAAGGCAACTACATTGATCGTCATAAAGATCTCGACCCACTGACACTTTGTGTAGCAACACTGGCCCAAATTAGCACGATAGTACAGGAAACACTAGGAGGTCTTGACAAAGAACTGGCCACGAATCTCGCTAAAAAACACGAGAAGTTTGAGCATTGGCATTCAAAAATCCGCGAGTCAGCGAAAGCTCGGCAAATTGAACAGAAACAACTTGACGAGCTCAGGCGCAAAGCCTCAGATCGTATAGGACTGAGCAGGCGCTTCAAAAACCTTGAGATGTCATCTCAAGACCTGCTTGTACTTCTAAAGAACATCCATGGTGATTCATATGATGCATCGAGAATGATGTCTGTCGGTGATGCTGACAAAGACTCTGGTATCGATATCGACAACTTCGAAGTTATCTTCCCGGAGAACTTTGATCCTACCTCTGGGTTTTCCGAACAACAAACTGCTTTCTTAAACTCGTTACCATCTACCGCGGCTCTACAGCAACGGATACAAGGTTATGAAGGATTTAACGAAGAAATCATGAATGAAATCGACCGCCTCAAATCCAAGAATGTGGTGCTAGGTCAGAGCTATCGGCGAATGGTCATGGCCTGCACTAACTGGACAGCCGAGCAAGTTGACGAAGCTGCCGAAGGTTTGACGGAGTGTGTTAAGGAACTGAACGATAACCCAGTTCCCGAAGATGAGGCTATCGAAATCTTGATGAAGGACCGTGGTCAGGATTGGTAACATCATCTACGCAATACGAAATACATACATCACATATGAGCCAGCTTTTCAGAGAATTCTCTCCCCTTTGAAATCGCTGCAAGATTACGAACATCTTTTTATTTCATGGTATTTCATTGTCTTTGGATTCGGTACAAACGAGCGTTAGTTCATATGGAGCTTGGTGTTGAGCATTCTGCACGTTTATGCATCAATGTCTGTATTTACAGATACCCTAACAGCACATATAATGGGTTTTGAATGGTGTTATGCTTTTGTTGTATCTATAGATATATGCCTGGTAAGGTTATATTGTCCTCTTGGTTTGGGAGATATATATATATATATACACCAAACTCCGGGCAGCATTATTATGTTGCCGTGTACTTGCTACTGAGCAGGTTGGGTTTGCTTCAATTGAGATAAATGACTTTATGGAAGTCATTGATTTGTCTTTCAATACAATTCAGATCCCAAGTGAGACTTGATATCGTTTGGTGTACACTACGCGTGGCTCTTGTACCACAAGGTGTATACCTACTCTCAACTATAGTATCTCAATTAAGCCTCGCGAGCATGAGCATGTTCTCTCAGGATCTCATTCAGCCCGTCCCGCTGTACACACTCCTCGAAATGGAAGCTCCGCGCCAAAGAATCCAATTCCGCCTCATTCATGCCCCGGAACAACTCCGCAAACTCATCCGCAAAAGAAGCCGCCAAAAACGTCTGGAACACATTCCGTAATAAATGCCTCTCCGTATTCCATGGCGTAGGATATGTCTCTTTCGCCTGAGGACTGACCTTGTCAATCCATTCAACAAGCGGTTTCAGCGCCGCTTCGGGCTCAGCGCTCGGCCGTCTTCCCCAGCAATCCAGCCAGAAATTTTTCTTCTTCTCTAGAAAGGGCTGGATGGTTTTGTTCCATTTGCTATCTGGGCTCGTGTAGATCATGCCTTGGAGTCCAATGTCTTTGTATAGCCAGATGGACCAGTGGATGTTGTATTTGTCATAGATGCGGAGCTGCTCGCCGAGGAGATTGTAGCGTTCTTGGTTGATGATTGAGGCTTCTGGATCGGCGTGGGGGTCCGCATAGACGGGGCCGAATTCGCCATTCCAGATTGCTGAGCCTTTCTCGTTCAAATGTTGGACTTTGCGGAGATAGGTGCGCTCTAGATGAGCTTTTTGCTCGGTTGTGCCCTTGTAGCGTTCGCCTGTTGGGAAACCCATTGACTTCATTTCATCGTTAGTGTTAGTGTTCATTTTGGATTAGAGTATGAGATACGGAGCAATGAGAAGGAGCGCATACAGCGTAGTCATGGATGGAGTAAACACAGTTCGGAAGGACCTTATCAAAGCCTTTCCACTCCATGGCAAACGTATTACCATCTAGCCACAGGATATGGTCTGGGTCAACGGCACGGATAGCCTTCTCCACCCGCTCGTAAAACGCAGGGAGTCTAACATGCTCGGGGTCACACGGTTCGTTGAGAGGATTATACCCAGCGACCCATGGGTTAGACCTGTATCTAGTCGCAATCTGTTCCCATAGCCATACTGTTCTGTCCTGGTGGTCCTTGTAGTCCCAAAATGCAGCGTAACTGGTAAAGTTATCTGAATGCCAGTCACCATTTTGACCGCCAGGAGCCGTATGCATGTCCAGTATAGTGTAGATATTCTGCTTTGCGCACTGTAATCGTGATCAACAGTGAGCGCTGTTCTTCGATCAATAAATTTAATATCGGTCCCATGGGAAAGCCTACCAAGTCTACCACTCGATCTAAATGTTTGAACCCGGACTCTTTGAGCACGCGTGGATTCA